AATTTGCCGGAGATCACTGTCTGAAAACGTATTATATAATATCGGTGGCTGGGGCAGATAAGTTACGTGATCTCAATTCACAGTTAAACTATAATATTATATATTAATGTAAGCCAAGTCGGAATCAGGAATTAAACGTTATATGAGGTCGAAACAATTCGACATTAAACGAACCCAGTCTCAATTTAAATTACCATAGATGACAGCTACGTGTTAAAAAGGAGTTCAGATAATGTCAAAATAAATTGAGAATAGTAAGTAACCGTCACGGATAACAATGCACAAACTTTTATTAAGTAAGCTTTATCATTGAGTAAGTAAGTTTTATTCACAATGTAACAGTCACAGATAATAAAAATGCAGACATTTATTACTTAATGAATTTTATCAACCGGTAAAATATGCGGGACCAGAAATGGGCTCGTATGCAGTACTATGCACCGATGTAGGGGTTCATTTCTGAAGAATTCCAGGATTAGAACTTTGTGATGGTCTGGAAGAGGTTTCAAACATAACTTCAAAAGAAACTGGGTCAAAAATGGGAAAAATGTACCCAACAGTGCAAGATAAACGAACTACAAGTGCTAAATGCAACATAAAATTGGTATCCGGCGTTGATTGGATTACCTATGGTAAAGAAAAGAATGCGACAATAAGGTCGGTCGAGCTGAACCAATTTATCTCAAATGCTATTGATGTAAATCTTAACAAGTTCAGTAACCAGATCAAATAGTTAACGCAAATCAACCATTATTTTGATCTGTATCTTGTAATACTTCACGCCATAAATCTCGACTAACTCCAATAGTTCACCCACGGCTCCATGAATAAGCGCTGAACCTCAGGCCAGTGAAGCGAACACAAAGTTTCACAACAAGTAGCAACTTGAAGTGACTGTAGAGTTTAAAGTGTTTGAGTTTAACAAGCGCAAATAAATCTTTCACACAAGTATTAAAAGGACGTAAGGAACCCCCTGCGACAGCCCTGCTTAAGCCGCTCGAGTGAGCCAATAACAGGAATCAAGCTCGACCGAGACACAATTCTTAGCCAATGACTTATTTTATAAATAGCATATTATATCCAACTTAAAACAGTTACTCCGAAATAATTTAGTTTCAATGTCAAGTTTAAAGGCCTGTATATTCAGTGACTTTTACAAAATCACACAACAGACGTCACCACAACACCAGTTTAACTGAACACGTTGTCACGGTTGTGAGAATCAAACGGAGAAAGAGAGAGAGAGAGAAGAAGTGGAGATTAAATGCACGGACCAATTATTTCTCCGTCATGTCACTCGACATAAGTGCAAACCATGTAATATGATAATAATAACCGTAGTTTTACACAAGTAGCAGACGCAATATATTACATCAAGGGCCAGGCCGCGGCATCCCCAAACGTGAGGGTTTACTATTAGATTCGAGAACAAGGATCCCTGAACAAGGATCCCTGAACAAAGATCCCTGAACAAGGATCCCTGAACAAGGATCGCAAGATCGCGAGGGAGCACGATGATCACTGGACAGGAGTCATTGTGCCATTTGCGCTTGCTTTTACTGCTGACCAATCACCCGTAAGACAGGTAAATCACAGCTGTGCTCGTCCCATGTGATAAGCAGAAAAATGTTTAAGGATAACAGGAGGCCAAGTCACCGGAAATAAATACAAAAGAGAATAAAATACAGAATGCTGATCGTTAAGATGACGGAATATTGTGTTTATTCACAAGGGGCTAATGTTAACATAGAAGAATAAATCTAATTCAATATCATATAATTATTATATTGTGAAATTCGATAAAGTTGGCTGTTCATGAATTCCTGTCTAATGCACAGATCCTGCGGTATACACTGTACTGGACTATAAATGCAAACCGAACAACGAACAAGATCTTTAGTGATGTGAAGATCGTAATTTAAAGAGAGAGAGAGAGAGAGAGAGAGAGAGAGAGAGAGAGTTTGGAATATATTAGCGGGAACTGCTGTACTTATATTACAGTAGCACTATTTTCATAGAAACACTGTTTTTATAGTAGCAGCATTTCAAAATTGGAGCACTATTTGTATAGTAGTTCAATAATCCAACGCGAGTACGCGAGGCTCGGAATAAGCTGAAGTTTAAGTCGCCTTAAGAGAGTTAAAAGAAGAAACAACCCAGAGCACCTGCAGATTAGAGTCCCAGCTAGAAGCTTGTAATTAGAGATATTAACAGGCTAATAAAAAACAGACTAATTAGAGTCCCAGCTAGAAGCTTGTAATTAGAGATATTAACAGGCTAATAAAAAACAGACTAATTAGAGTCCCAGCTAGAAGCTTGTAATTAGAGATATTAACAGGCTAATAAAAAACAGACTAATGAACAGACTAATTCCTGCAGTGGCATGTAATTTTATGACTGCTTTTCATCGACCAAGCGTAAGTTGCAGAGGACCTCTAGAATAATCACAGTGCTGGCAAGAACGAACGTAGATCCCGCTTCTATAACTTTAAGCTGTTTACTCTTGTGTATTCACGTGTTTTTAAATGAATAATCAAATTGTATCATCACAAAAAATCACAGAACATCACAAAATAAATAAATATTGTTGTCTCTTGACACCAAATATTCATAATGGTTCTGCTAGACTTATTTAGACATTGTATGTTGTGCTGTGACAGGTGACAGGTTATATGGGCAAAACATAACAAACATTCTAAAAACCTCTGTTGAAACAGAACGTTTCACCAGCTTTCTTAAAGACATCTTTGTTTGATGATCTAATAGGACTTTGCAATTAATTCTAACTTTTAAATAATATATCTATTTAAAAAATATGTAAATGCAGTTCTGCCATTGAAGCGTGACCTACATAAATATATGAATATACTGCACAAAGTATATTTCATATCAACACTAGGGTGTTATAGGCGCCTTTAATATTGTTAAGGACATATTTAAAAATGTTCAGCATGAAAACTCACTTAATTAGAACATAATAACATTCAATATTTAGAAAAGAATATCCCAGTCGGCATTTAAAGTTTTGTTTTAAATTTGCTCCCGAAACTTGAATAGAACTTCTGTAAAAAAAATATTACGTACCGTTGTAAAATGGTCAAGTCTTTTGAGCGCCTCAAAAACCATTCAAGAGGTAAGTGACAAACTAAAAACCTTTTAAAGTTTTTAATGTCGATCAAGGCGACTTGGAACGAACTTTCAGTTTTGCACAGAGACCTAAGACTCCCCTTGGACCCCAGAATAGATTTAGCCCGGAAACACATATCTCACTCTTGGCGTCATGCCATATGCCCATATGACCACGCTCATCTTCACCCTCAGCTCCAAATACATTCGGGTTTCTAAATGGGTTAAAACGAAGTCGAATGATCGTATTATATTATACTAGAAACCCGATAGTCGAAAGCTTTGTTTGAGGAAATTAAAAAAATATTTATGTTTAAATTTTTCTAATCTCTTCACCATTTAGCTCTAAGCTCTGTACTGTAGAAAGTATGGATTTTATTTGACAGTGACGACAACGTTGTAAAGTTGTAAGTATTCGGATTTCCTAAACGATTTTCCCGTTGCCGGGAGGGGGGGGGGGATTTCGTCTAAAAGTTTAAAATATAGTATAGATAAGAGTTATTAATTGACATAATAAATAACTCAAAAAATAAGCATTTTATGGTACAACTTTCTTCATAACTCATTGTATAGAAATGTGTTAGGTGCGGTTGTTTCGCATCTACCCGAAAGTCTCTATCGTGCTCCCGTCAGAAATTAGTACAGTTGGGCGTGGCGTCATATCAGGTCGACAACAGTTTTCGGCGATTTTCACCGAAATTTAAGGTTTTAGGCAATATTTTATTTCACAATTTTCAGGTAGATCTGCGATTAGACAATCAATAACAACAAGGCAAGGCAAGGTAAAACTCAGCCCCAGTGATCGAGAGCCATCTGTCTGCAGCTGCCTCGGTCAAGACTCAAGAGAAGTCCTTTCAAAGTGACCAAAGAAATTCTACTGTGACCAGAAACCTTTTGCAAAACAATATTTGCTCAACAAAATCTACAATATATCTACACAGAACATGACACAACTGACAACATACACGTCATTCACTACTCAAGTACTGAAACGACGCAAAAACCACACATACTACAGCATACTACTACAACATACCATCGTACTACAGCTGCTGATAACGAAGCTGTACCACACGACAACAGTAATATAATCGCAATTATTAACAGTAATATTTATTAAGGAGCTGAATGTTGTACTGCTCCACGTCATGAACTCATATCATTATGTTCTAACAGGAGTCATGATCTCGGGATTTGTATGAACTTTACTTCATATCATCAGTAATGAGCATTTTGTAGTATAGACCCACATAAATATCGTCGCATTTATTAGTCGATTTTATTCATTATCATACCATGGATACCATGTTCTTCGGATTTAGATAAAGTTTACCTAAGTAATTGATGATTCGTATTTTGTAAAGTGCTCTTAATAAAAATAGGAGATGAGCTAACGTACGATGACAAAGTGAGCAATTACTGTTGGCAGTTAGTTTCACTCGTTATTGTACTGTTTACTTCATGTTATGAGCATTTTCTGCAGACTCACATAAATATTATCGCATTCATTAGCCGATTATGTTCATTATGAATAACACCGAGACCTCCTTTGAACGGTGATATATAAAGATCTGCCTGCAGTCTTGTTGGTGCAGAGGAGAAGTGAGGCCTTATTTAGTCTGTACTTTATAAATCTTGTAATAAACACAGTCTGCTTCTACAGTCTTAACGTGTAGAACTGGGGTGGAGCGGTTCTTCTTTGGGTTACTGGCACAAAACCAACACACTTTGTAGACAGGACAGATTATCAGGTCCTTGTGGTGGCGGTATATTACATAATCACACCACGTGACGTAATCACATAACGTGACGTAATCACACCACGTGACGTAATCACACCACGTGACATTATCTAAATTGATAAATTAACTCACCCTTGTTGACTTGCACTTATTGTAGGTCTCACTGCCCCTCCTGCTGTATAAGTTGTGGGTATCCTCACCGTAGTGGGCTCCTTCTATCGGCATAGGGATAGGGGTGGGGAACACGTGCACGCCGTCAGAGTTGAAGTGTACTCCGTCCATTATCATCTCCTGAAATAGGGGGCTGGGTCACGTGACCACAGGAAGAATTGCTTACTATTGTGAGCTTATTAACAGTTAGTCAGGTGATCAGGTGATTTGTAGGATTATTAGTTGAATACCCCCCCCCCCCCCCCCCCGACCATGATGTTAGGACCACTGCTCTTTAACAGGCAATAATAACATATAATAACCGGATTACAAACTGAGCTGATGATATCAAGAATCACGATAACAGGCGTGCTGATGATATCAAGAATCACGATAGCAGGAGTAGATGTAATTGTCGAGGTAATTGAAAGTATTCTGTTGTTGTTTACTAACATGCCCGCATTCGCTCTCGATTCCGTAAAGGCTTACATCACCCGTTGTTACACTCCCTGAAGATAAATCTCGGACATGCCCATTGGAGTTCCCATGTATTATTTCATCTTTAAAGCCTAATCCCCAGATCTCATGAAGACACATTTTACCTTGAACAGTGAAGGTGGTCACGGTAAATGTAGTTTCATTTCATAACATCCGTTGAAGCTTTCTGACTGGTAACGTGGTAACGATTCGGGGAGCCCTTTATAATTGAATGCGAGGTTTGTGAAGCAACGGCTGGTAGCCTTAACCGGGAATATAAAATTATTTAATTAATGAATTCTGCGGAGTTTAACGAGCGACTCCGGGTAGTGTCTAGCCTCGGACAGTGTTTCAGACAGTAAAAGCAACAATAAAATTCAAATACAATAATATAGAAAGAAATTCAATAATGTAGAAAGATAAATCATTCAATGTAGTTTAGTGGGAACCGGATAGTAGGCTGGCCTGTCACATACTGCTCAGAGGGCTGAGTGGTCCAGAGATAACTTGCTACTGTGATAGCCAATAGCTAGAGGCTAACATTTAGCAAGCCCGATTAATCAAATCGTTCGAATACGGGATATCTCTAACACTTGGAATATCTCTTAATAATTGCGCGCTATCAGTTCAAGTAACATAATGTCAAGCTGATGGTGGCTAACAAAAGGTCTTAGTTCTTACTCCAGGGTATGCAATAACAAAAGGTCCGCCTGTTACGTGAGGATTAAAGAGTGGAAAAGCACACATTTATTTCACATCCAACATTTAATATTATAGTTTACATAACATACTGCTTAGTATGAGTTGTACCTTAATAACTGAGGCTTTATTTAACTTTAATTTGTATGTAAAGAATTGTCATGACTGAAGAATTGAACCGCCTGTTTATATATACTAAAATAGTGTACAATATAAATTACACACCTCTTTAATTAATTAATGGTGCTTAAAATTATGCTTTGAAAACAGAAAAAGTACTTACACCCTCGCCTTGATGATGGTTCATCCATTCTCGGTAAAAGTGCTGAAAATAAAACCCCATCGTCCTAAGGAGAATATCTCATTACAAGGAGAATACTAAGGAGAATATCTCATTACAAGGAGAATGTCTCATTACAAGGAGAATGCTAAGGAGAGTGTCACAGCCCAAAGATTAAAGAAACAGATTAAACAGTTTGGTTTGCAGAAGAACAAATTTCGCTTAAACCCCCAGCAAGGCTGGGTGAATAACAATTCACTAAATCCAATATTTTGAATTATGAAGGAAAAAGAGGATTGCGTCGCTTTTGCGTGATTATACCGGTTTTAAGATAAATTGCATAGACCACCAGCTAGACAATCTTATATCAAAAATGAGCTGTATAAAGATTGGCAACCGTTTAACAAATTGGTCTATTGTTTGGTCAGCCCTGGACACAATGATGAGCGATACAATGTAGCTATAGAACGGATCTTCTAATGAGTAAATATTGGACAATGGCCATGATACGAGCGGAAGCTGTCGAACTATTGCTGCGCCCATTCGTAGACTTGTTACTAACTTCCACCAAGATGTAACTAGGTCGAACGGAAAAATTAGGTCTCACGCAGGAATTAGGTCTCAAGCAGGCGCGGATTTTAAGTGTATTTATATATTATATATCACGCGCCTGCGTGAGACCTAATTCCTGCGTGAGACCTAATTTCTCCATTCGACCTAGTTACATCTTGGTGACAGTAAGAAAGAGCGATTGTTGATGAATTTGGGGTTAAGTTAATCTCATATTTTAAGAGCAAAGGCAAAATTCTAAATTTATGTTATATATTATACGTTTTTCGGGTATTCGCCCAAGGAAAACCTGTGAAAAGTTTAAGGTCCTGGGCGTGTCTTTTCCAAAAGGTAAGGGTAACATTTTTTTAGTTTTAGTTCTACATGTAATTTTAGGTGAACCTCAAACTTTGGCGGGCAATATCTCTGGACTGCAAGGTCAGATTTTGATGCGGTTTTTCCTACTTGTTTGTCTCCAGCAGCTCTATCACATATATTAAAAATATGAAAATGATTTCCCCCTCTGACCTCAACACCATGTGGTATTCGTTACAAATCGTTTGTGGAATAGTTATCACCCGTGGTTACCCACGACAAATCGTTAGGGGAATAGTTATCACCCGTGGTTACCCACGACAAATCGTTTGGGGAATAGTTATCACCCGTGGTTACCCACGACAAATCGTTTGTGGAATAGTTATCACCCTGGGTTACCCACGACAAATCGTTTGTGGAATAGTTATCACCCGTGGTTACCCACGACAAATCGTTAGGGGAATAGTTATCACCCTGGGTTACCCACGACAAATCGTTTGTGGAATAGTTATCACCCGTGGTTACCCACGACAAATCGTTTGTGGAATAGTTATCACCCTGGGTTACCCACGACAAATCGTTTGTGGAATAGTTATCACCCTGGGTTACCCACGACAAATCGTTTGGGGAATAGTTATCACCCTGGGTTACCCACGACAAATCGTTTGTGGAATAGTTATCACCCTGGGTTATCCACGACAAATCGTTTGTGGAATAGTTATCACCCGTGGTTACCCACGACAAATCGTTCGGGGAATAGTTATCACCCTGGGTTACCCACGACAAATCGTTTGTGGAATGGTTATCACCCTGGGTTACCCACGACAAATCGTTTGTGGAATAGTTATCACCCTGGGTCACCCACGACAAATCGTTTGTGGAATAGTTATCACCCGTGGTTACCCACGACAAATCGTTTGTGGAATAGTTATCACCCTGGGTTACCCACGACAAATCGTTTGGGGAATAGTTATCACCCTGGGTTACCCACGACAAATCGTTTGGGGAATAGTTATCACCCTGGGTTACCCACGACAAATCGTTTGGGGAATAGTTATCACCCTGGGTTACCCACGACAAATCGTTTGTGGAATAGTTATCACCCTGGGTTACCCACGACAAATCGTTTGGGGAATAGTTATCACCCTGGGTTACCCACGACAAATCGATGGTCAGAAGACTGATCGTAAGACTTAGAAACGATTCTGGTTGGAAAAATACGAATTGAGACACGTTAAAGCAAGCTATATTGAAGTTGCCCAACGTCAATATGCTTCTTATGTGTATTAACCAGGAAATGCTCGATTACAAAAATAGGTATTCTCAAAATAATTTTTTTTGGTGCGGAAACGGTGGGCTAGATAGTCACTGAACTGCCTATGAGGTCATTTGGGTTGGACGGCACTAACCACTGTTTTGGTGTATGCCCCTTTAAAGCCTTAACTGTGATTTCGTTTTAAAAGGAATTGAGATTTGAATCTAAAAGAAAAACCGACGACAAAGAAGCAACTAGTGTGACTGAGCAAGTTCTCAGTTTTAACGAGCATCTTAAGACAACTTAAGAAGAATTAAGTAATGCTTACTTGTATAGTAAAACATTGAACCTGCTCAAGTTTTAAATTTCCTTGTTGGGGATCATGTGATGAGTCTTTGACTTCGCAAGAAATAAAACAGAAAGCCCAGAATATTCTATTAATGCTTTTCAAACAAAGTTAAAACGAATTCTTCATGTAGTGCATCCTGGGTTTGGACAGGATATGCCCGTTTAAAATATTTCCATCACGTTACATTACATGATTGTCAATAAATGTAATAGATTTGTAGTGTTGTAATTAGTTTAAATATATATTATGTCATATTCAGTTGATATTAGTTGTTTCGTATTAGTTGTTTGACATTAATATCATTAATTGTCTTATTTATTTCAAATTAGTAGTGTTATTGGCCCTGAATAATTCATGTTATGTCATATTATTATATAATATTGATATTATGTAGTATTTAGTCACACTAGTTGTATTATATTCGTCGTATAATAACACTATAACAGTTATAACCCAGAATATTCCATATTTCTGGGCCGTAACATGACAGAAGAGGTGACCTTTTTTAGAGTACAAATTAATTAAGCTGTCATGACTGGTCGAAAATGTACCAGATGAAGTCGCTTCTACCAAGAGGAACCGCTTCTGTAAATTTTGCATCAGCTGTTTAAATTGATTAATAATCTTTACTTACATCTTATCTTATCTTATTTTATGAGGATTTGTTGCGACGCAACAAGGCCATCGAATGAGTCGACCACCTTTGTTATTTTACTTCGGCATTACCTGCATTACAATGTAAACCAGCACTTTCAAGGAAGAGCTTTACAAGAAGCCGAAGGATCGTTCCTAAGGCCAGCGACGGTTAAGGCACTATGCCACACTTTCTTCGCCCGAGGCTTCGCTGTGTTGATCAAGCACAGCTACATAGTTAAAGATAACACGTCATGTTCATTGATTTGTGTTAAAATTATCGAGTTTTCAAGTTTCGACTATCGTCCTCTACGGCCGATGAGTGCATAATGATAATGCATATCCTGATTTTTCGACTGAAAGATAGCTCAGCTGCCCTAAGTGAAATTCCAGCCTGGCATAATGTAAATTATTTGGTCCCCTGAAGTGCTTAGAAGTTAAAAGCGAATATTGATAAGCAGTGCGCAGGCGCACGGTTTAAGCATGATAAAATATAACTGCATATCACAACTAACAACGTTTACTTGACCAGCTACTTTAAAAGTCAATAATTCTGCCAATTTTATACAATTTCAATCCGTCGCTTTTTAATCGGTCAAAGCGTCTAGAGCCTTTATTTTGACATTTTGAGGCGAAAACCTTAAAGCCTTTTACAATGTTGATAATTTTTTGAACTATTTTCAAAATAAAAACAAAACGAAACGTAGCGCAGTAAAATACAGCACTTTTAGTATGAAAATGTCACATACGTATTCATCAACGCAGATCACTTAATTAGTTCGGTTAAAATGAGATTAGAATTGTGACAAACGCCCTGCAGTTAGGATCAGATAATTGATGATGAAACTGTCATGATCACCAATTAATGTGAATTTGACGACATATCTCAGACGCCAGTTTAAAGTAGTAGCGCAGTATGTAGCACATTCAGTTTGAAAATATCACGTACTCATAACGCAGATCATTTAATTTAAGTTAGTTCGGTTAAAATGAAATTAAAACAAACGCCCTGCAGTTAGGATCAGATAATTGATGATGAAACTGTCATGATCACCATTTAAAGTGAAGTTGACGACATATCCCAGACGATTAACCACTAACCAGCGTGAACGTTTTTAATTGAGTCCGACATCATTAAAATTGGCCCTGAAATTAATGAATATATTACGAAATTGATTACAGTAGAATGGATATTGGTTTCGAGTACATAAAATATGACCTGCCCAACAGTATCCAAATCTAGTATGATAAAACAGCAGAGACAAAATTATATAAGACAACATAAAATAAGTACGGCACTTATATATGTTGCTTCTGATAAAACATCATCTGCATAGAATTAGACGGTTTGACCGGAACGAAATTTGGTTTGGTCAACAAACTTTCAAGATTAGCCAAGTCATTTAAGAAAGAGAAACAATTTCGAACAAGTAACAACTGAAACATTAGACTTCTGGGCGGGAGGTAAACCGGTCGTAATAGTTTACGTCGACGGCTGCGACAGTATGCCGGCTCTCTGCCGCAGACATAATCCAGTGCGGCCAGTAAAACAAGTAGTTTGGAACACGAGATCGCAGATCATGTTTCGTATTGGTCGTATTTCCCGGATGTTGGCTTGTTGTCTCCACCCAGTTCAAGCTTGTTTCGCTAAGTCCGCTGATCGCAAAACGATTGAATATTTACTGTCAAATCGTTGTGGAAACATTTGAGTTCGGGGTCTGAAACTAGTAAGATAGTCTGGAAAAGAGTCTGATAGTCTAAGCAGTATAACTAGTACTAGTATACGGATTGTAGAAGAGGACAAACCTTTCAGGAAGTCTGAGTTCTCAGAATTCCACATCTTCTTCTCAAAGATAAAACCTAACGAATGCCTTAATAATTGTCACGGGTATCAAATCCAAATTGCCATCTGACGCGAGCAGTAGGATCACACAATGGGGTCGGGTCACGGGTGGTCGGGAGAATAGAGCAGATCATCAAAATACAACACGACAACTTACTGAGTTAAATAACTCGCCCGGGTTTATAATGTCCAATAATTCGTCACCAATTTGGAATACTATGAAGAATTGCTAAAATAACAGCATAGCGGACCCTCGTGCGTCAGGAAAATGACTGGTACGCTAAATATCAAGCGTAACAATTAGCTGAGCTCACAACAGGATTATATAATACAGATCTATCGATGCATTTAATAATTTCCGAAATTGTTAGAGGAAACAGTAACCAACGATATGTGCGTGGAAATAATGGATCTCGTTCGGTCCGGATATTGAATGCTGATGGTCTTAAAATAGCGGATGGTCTTATAATAGCGGATGGTCATTTAGGCTTGGTTACTTTATTGCTGTAATTAAGTTATTGACAGGTCTGGTAGAGAAATAAACAAGTTTTGTTAAATAATGTGCACATTCATTTGGCTTATTTATTAAACTCATTAAATCCAGCATCAACAAGAAATTATTACATAACCATAATAATACACATAGATTAATATTTTAACTCCAAATGCATAAATCACTTGGGGTTAATTAAAACTCAATAATATATCAGGCGCAGGCTGCATTCTTTCATTTCTTATTTGAAACTTTCTTTGGTGCACTTTACAGCGCGACGTTTGTCCTTTATTTATTTTCAAGGATCAGATTTCTAAGTCATGAGACAAGGAGAAAACTTGGTTTTATTTATTTATTCATTAAAACTAAAACTTTACTAACTACTCTAATCAAAACTACTCTAAGTTAAATCTGCTTAGTTTTAGATACTTTCATTCTGCATGTTAATATGACTTTTAAATCATTTGAAGCAGGAGTTTGTTATCTCAAAATTCTTAACAAATCAGTTTTATTTCTTAAATCACCCTTAGCGTTGGAACAAAAGATAAAGGCAATATTGGAACATGGCCAAGTTCAATCACGAGAATTTCTCATTAGATTTATACTGTTGAAACCAGAAAATCAGCAAATGGGTACAAACGTAAGGTTAGTCAAACGATTTTAGCAGGAAGGATTTAAGAAACTGAAAATATTTACACTTACAAAATAAAGTTCAGGCAACAGCAATAATTTAAGTTGCCCTGATTTAGTTAAAGTTCAATAGATCAACTACCCTTTACAAACTGATAAATAATAAATATGTACAAAACTGTAGAATTATTTGTCTCTTTGAGCCTCAAAACTTCTTCAAATAGAAAATTTAGCCGATCAGCAGCAAACATATCACACAACATAGCACCTCAACACTACAATATCAAAAATAAGTCCGCAATTTCACCAAGCTAAGAGGTACACAGAGATTGCCAGTTCCGGTAAGCCCTCATACTGATGTTAAGGGCAGGATGGACCTCAACCTCACCCGAGATAACAAACATTCCAGCAATTCCAAAGTAGCTGTGTAGTGGGTCGGGGAGGTAGCCTGGCCATTTACTGAACCCACCCATGTAGCGATCCTGGAGGGTAAAGCTCATTAACATTCTATCAAGTTTGAGACATGAAGTGTCAGGTCGATAAAGGTCTAATTCTTGTTCAAGTGTAGAGTACATTTATTTCGAAGATCGCCTAGAGAGTGAGTAAATTTATATCTATAGCACATAAAATTTTACTGCAACTGACAAGCAGCAGAAAATAAATGCGTGGAAATTATAAATTATACTAACAACTCTGTGAAGAATTTCTGACTTGCAAACAGAGTACCTATTGTCAAAGCTTAAAAATTAAAGTCACTAATATTTACCTGAGTAGTCATAAGAAAGGAGAAGTTACACTCCTTATTAATGAACTCCTGGACACCGAGCAGAGTAAGACTTGCTCCCAACCAGAAGCTGTAGCAAGTGTCTACTGGTTTGTTAGGGCGACCGTTAAATCCACTCTGTTGTCTGTTCAGACACCAGTAAATTAGCCGGCTCCTGTTTTCTTCTGACATGTCCTCTAGTTTCCCCATTAATTGTAAAGCAGCGAGTGCACAGAAGGTGGAGCCGCCGTGTGATTCTCTGCCAAGGTTTTGAGCGAATCCTCCCTCGTAGGACTGAATTGAGAAGAGGAAATTTGCTGCCTTCTCCACGTCCATCCCCCTCCAGTCCTGAAGTGGATCTTTATTAGACCTCATGTTTAACTAATTAAAACAAGATTAACAATTAACATTTGAATATGGTATCTATCTCAGATAGACTCTTCAAGGAAAGCATTACAATTGTAAGTTTTTAAACAACTTACGTTCAAAAAGTAACTAATGCAAGCAGCGCAATAGACAAATCTCGCATCTGATTCTGTCCCAAAGGAGATACATTGATAAGAGCCGCTGTCCAGTTGTAAGGTTTTGAGTCCTTGTACAATGGCATCCCTATGAATTACAAACGTTCAGTTTAGATCAGATACAGTTTACACTGATGCAATATGTTTTTTAAATCATAAAAGTTACATGAATTAAAAACAATTCTACCAGAAGAAATGAGTTTTAGTTTAAGAATCTATTTTTCTAACCTGTCAATGCCTGATAAGTCATCTCCAAGAATTATTAGAGAGCACAAAGCAACGTAAGTCATAGCTATGTGTCCGTAATTAGCGTCAACTGATTCGGGTAGGGAATCTGTAGCTGAAATACTGAAGATAATACAAGTGATAAACATGCTCTATAATTTAAGAAGTAAATTTAATGACAAACGAGTTGATTCAAATACTAACTGTTCTGGAGCAATAGTGAAATGTGTTTTATTTTGATGGCAACTTCTGGGAAGGGAGTCAAGTAAATTATTTGCATTATAAACCTTGTGTGGCCAAGACAAAGAGAGTAAATATTTCTTAAATATTTCTTGAAATTGTATTTCTTTCAATTTTTATAAAAATGTGGGGTAAATGTGTCAAAATGTATTTGTTTTTATTTTACGAAGACTGTGAAATGTTCACAGCTGTGATATTGTAGGAATAAGGAAGACTCTTTTTAGAAGTTATGATGATGCAGATGTTAATGTGAGTATTCTTGAATTGATTTGATGATTGAAATATGTTTCACTTACAATTATTACTTACCATAAAATCCACATCTAGAATAGCCATGCTTATCATCAGGCTTTATTTGAAGTGAGTAAATCCAAGCTACAAGTTCTCCCTTTCTCTTGTCATTGATGTCATCAATTGCCCCAATCAGATCCAATGCTGAAAAATATTTCAGATTGATTTACAAATATTTGATAACATACATTAAAAAGCGGGAAAATCAGAAACAACAGACAACGGTAGATTATTTAAGTTGATAAAGAACTCAAGTGAGGTACACTAGCAACTTACCACTGAGAGAAAAGTAAAGCAAAGTTAAACGTGATGAGTCATGACTCTGATAAGCTTGTGGCAGGAGATTAAGCATCTGTTTAAAAAACTTGGTGTGCTTGTCTTTCAAGAGGTGTTTGGGCATCTCCTCTCTTTTTTCCTGTACATCATCATCTTCTTCTGTTTGAGTAATCTGATCTACATCAGACATTATAACACTACCACAAATATATTGTTATAATTTTACAGTTGAATGGAGTGAAAGTTGTAACATAAACATTCTGGGAGAATGTTTGGGATTTGTTACAAAGATGATTTTAAAAGCAGAGGTGACAAAAATAGAGTAATAGTAAAAATAAATCTATACAGTTACATAATTGAAACAACAATGGCCCCTTATTGTAGGCTGTTTTAATACTTTCAACACTTCTACATAACAAATAATTTGAGTTCAGGGATGGCAGAAAATAATGTAATCGGAAGGGCGACAACATGAACGAGGTGGAATGTCAAGCTTGGTCTAGTCAAGAACAAGGCGACAGCATGATTTATGATTGTGCTCTGCCAATTGCATCACTTGATTAATTTGTTGTATATAGGGGGGGGGGGGGTGTCATGTCCGTCTATGTCCGCCTATGTCCTGTCCTTTTTGGATTCTATGAGACAACGGACGTGTTTTTTGGGACATTGGCGGACACGGACGGACATTGGCGGACTCGGACGGACATTGGCGGACTCGGACGGACATAGGCGGACCCGGACGGACATAGGCGGACTCGGACGGACATTGGTGGACATTAGCGGACATTAGCGGACAAACATTTTGAGAATTTTTCGCAACTTGTATTATAATCTAGTACAAAACAAACGACTTATTAATCACACTAAATCTATTAATAGCTTTAACTTATTGGGGGGGGGGTGTCATGTCCGTCTATGTCCGCCTATGTCCTGTCCTTTTTGGATTCTATGAGACAACGGACGTGTTTTTTGGGACATTGGCGGACACGGACGGACATTGGCGGACTCGGACGGACATTGGCGGACTCGGACGGACATTGGCGGACCCGGACGGACATTTGCGGACTTGGATGGACATTGGTGGACATTAGCGGATATTGGTGGACATTAGCGGACAAAAATTTTGAGGACTGAAGAGTACTGAAGAGTACTGAAGAGTACTGAGGAGGATGGCTGAGAAGGATGGCTGAGGAGGATGGCTGAGGAGGATGACTGAGGAGGATGACTGAGGAGGATGACTGAGAGGGAGGAGAAGGATCAGGAAGACCCAGGAGGAGGAGGACCCAGAAGGAGGACCTAGGAGGAGGAGGAGGAGAACTGAGGAGGATGACTGAGGAGGAGGAGGACTCAGGAGGAGGACTGAGGAGGACTGAGAAGGAGGAGGACTGAGGAGGATGGCTGAGGAGGATGACTGAGAGGGAGGAGGAGGAGGAAGAGGACTGAGGAGGAGGAGGAGGAGAAGGACTGAGGAGGAGAAGGAGGACCCAGGAGGAGGAGGACCCAGGAGGAGGAGGACCCAGGAGGAGGACCCAGGAAAAGGCCCCAGGAGGAGGATCTGGGAAGGAGGAGAACTGTTGAGGACTGATGAGGAGGACTGAGGACGAGGAGGAGGAGTAGGAGGAGGACTGAGGAGGGGAGGAGGAAGAGGACTGGGGAGGATCAGGAAGACCCAGGAGGACCCAGGAGGAGGAGGAGGACTGAGGAGGACTGAGGAGGAAGACTGACGATGACTGAGAAGGAGGAGGACTGAGGAGTACTGAGGAGGATGGCTGAGGAGGATGGCTGGGGAGGATGGCTGAGGAGGATGACTGAGGAGGATGACTGAGAGGGAGGAGGAGGAGGACTCAGGAGGAGGACTCAGAAGGAAGAGGAGGAGGACTCAGGAGGAGGACTCAGGAGGAGGACTTAGGAGAAATGAGAAGGAGGACTGAGGAGAACTGAGGAGGAGGAGGAGGAGGAGGAGGACTGAATAGGAGGAGGACTCAGGAGGAGGAGGAGGACTGGGGAGGAGAAGGACTGTTGAGGACTGATGAGGAGGACTGAGGACGAGGAGGAGGAGTAGGAGGAGGACTGAGGAGGGGAGGAGGAAGAGGACTGAGGAAGATCAGGAAGACCTAGGGGGAGGAGGAGGAAGAGTAGGAGGAGGAAGCATCTAAATTTCTAAATGTTATTTCCATTTTTGTCCGTTTTTGTCCATTTTTGTCCGTTTTTGTCCGCTCTATTTTTTGTCCGTTTTGAAAATATAGGGTACCGAACGGACAAAAAACATGATCCCCTATAACAGCAAAAATTGAACATTTTATTTAGCAATTTAGGTGTCCATTAATGTCCGCCTATGTCCGCCTATGTCCGCCTATGTCCGTCTATGTCCGCCTATGTCCGCCTATGTCCGCCTATGTCCGTCTATGTCCGCCTATGTCCTGTCCTTTTTGGATTCTATGAGACAAGCGGACATAGACGGACGTGACACCCCCCCCCTATATAATATTGTTTGAATTACCTTCTCTTTTTACAGCAGTAAAAACAGACTTTGAAGAAGAGGACGAATGAAGTTGTGAGTGTAGAATTTACATCACAGCAGTGGCGTAACGTTGCTCCCCCCCCCCCCCCCCCACTGAAAAAACGCCCCCCTGTTGGCACCCCCTCCCCTTTTGGTGCCCCTCCCTAAAATTGAACAAATTAGGTGATTATAGAGGATATGCCGGTAAAATCTCTAAAAAAGTGTTTCTAGAGCAAAAAGTTAAGTTTTTCAAAATTGCCCCACATTCAAAGAACGATTTTGCTCCACCCCCCCCCCCCCCCCCCCCCCCCCCCCCCCCCCCCCCCCCCCCCCCCCGGCCCCCCAAAGATGGGACCCCCCTGCACAGTGGGGTCAGCGGGGCCCTTCATTACGCCGCTGCATCACAGAGAGTTCTCTTTAGCGTGTGAAATTTTTTGCCATTGTGGTCGTGTTTGGCTTTCTGGTTTGCGGCAGGATGAAGGCAACCGTTAACATTTGACTACAAGACACCTCGGAACGTTATCAAGCAGGAACTTGAAACACTAAAACCCTGTATTGGAGGGGTTTTTGAGGATGCTGTTGAGCAGAATCGGTCTACCAACACTTTTCAGGAAAACAAACTCATCCGAACTAGCGTTTCGTGTGGGTTCAAAACGCTTCCAGGCCGCCGATTCCTTGCCCCATCCGAGTTAGTTGTCGATCCTTCTACTACACTATCCAATTAGCAGTTAAGAATAAAAAGCGACACAGAATGGGCATTATATTTTCATGAATTGATATAAACTTGTTTATTCTGTAAAATGTGTTGTAAGTTTCTTATTTCAAAATTTCTCGTTTCATTGACATCGCAAAAATAGAAAACAATGCTTTCGAGTCCTGGACAGATGTAACTGATAGATATAAGGTTCTTTATGATATGAGTGGTGAACAATCTTGTAATGTTATCTCACAAGTCTGAATGAGGTTGCACTCTAATACGTTTCAGGAAAACAATCATAAACTTAATATGTATGTATTCCAAATTTGTATTCCTTTAAGGTTCCAGCAAAGCACAAATACCGATACTAATACACAAGTACCAATACTATACAAACCTTAGCAAGCTAGGGGGACGATTCCAAGTTTTTCAGAGACCCTCAAGAAGAACGACATGATCAATTGTCATTGACCTGATAAACTGGATTCCAACGATAATCCTAATGAAAGCCAGAACACTGTTACCAATACAAAAAGCCGCAGCTTACCGGCCACTTGTAAATTTTGATGTCAATGCTAAGGCTTACTTAATGAATTTATATCCGGAAAAAAAGGTTTAATTATATTTTAATTTCAAATTAAATAATAAAATAAAATTTATAAAATTCCATGTTCATAATTTTCATTCAAACAATATTATACAAAGTCAATTTAATAATATTTTTATTTAATTATTAATATTCGATCCATCATACTGCATACGCTTGTAGCGCGATGCACTAGTGGGCCATGCTGCGCGTCAAATTAATGCTTCTTCGTCAAATATTTTTTTTTCGTAAATTAATTCTTTGCAAGATTGTAGCTATGCATTACTGGGTTGACGGATGTTACTCGTCTAAATTTCTTCGAATTAGCCCGCGCCACTTTCTTCTCGATGGCACATGCTACGGCGCTGTGCTATGCATTATACAAAATGCTCCTCTTCCTTGCAAAATCTTAACAATGTGTTACCAGACGTGTTTAATTTATCTTTATTTGCCCTTTTCGAGCTTCTTGCATATAAGTGCAAAGCAATAAACTAGCAAGTTATGTAAATCAATCCACAATCCATTGCTAATTAGCTGTGACATGTGTGATGTGAAGGATACGGTACGCCAATCCCTTTGCGCGGCGCTTTTTTCGAGCTTCTTACATATATACATTTATATACGTAAGAAAATCGAAAATAGACTAGCAAGCCTGGCAAACCTTGTAGGTTTATAACCTACCAGGACGCGCGCCGAGTTGGACTCATCGACGCGGTAATATTTGGAACAAATCTTTTACGAGTTATATCACCCGTTACACGTTAGGGCAAACCTTAACCTGAACTAAAGTTAATATTGAACATGAAGTTCTAGTTGGACTCGTCGACGGCCAACATTTAAGTTTGGGACGAATATTTTAAGAGTTTTACTCTCCAGGAAACCCTACTGAATACTGGCTGGGGTAGTGCCAGTGGGGCGGCTTAATTCCAAAAGGAAAAGAGTTTGGAGATAGCGATAGATACTTCCGGTTTTTTGCAAAATTTTCGTCTCGTAAAAATGATTTTTTTTTCAGGGGAAATTTATTACTATATAAGTTATTTCAATAAATAAAAGTTTCATTTTAATAAAAAAAGTTTCATTTTAATAAAAAAAAGTTTCATTTTAATAAAAAAAAGTTTAATTTTAATAAAAAAAAGTTTCATTTCAATTTAAAAAAATTAAATAAAAGCTTGCAACTTTAACTTTGCAGATTCATAATCATGTCCCCTGGTTGGCTGAATTGTGTTACGTGAAGCTGGAATGCGTTACGCGTGCAATAAGCTTAAGCGGGCGCTCGAACACGCTGTGAAGACGCAACAGTAAGGTTTGCCATTTGCTGGGTCGTAAATTCATGCTCCATCTCCATTCTCCAATTTCTTTGTTCGGCTTCGCATGCACCCTTGTCATACGTTGTATGACCCGCCGCGCACGAAGTGCGCGGCTCCCCCTGTAGCGTCGAAGACGCTTCACTATAGTGAAGCGACCGTGGGGGTCACCACGTGATACAAATGCACCCTCCATCTCCGCCGGCCCGATGAGATGATGAGTCAGGAGTCGGGCAACGTCTGGCCGTCTGACAACAATTTCTGGGCTACTTATCGAGACTAGATGAATTTCTTTGTATCACGCGGTGACCCCCACTATCGCGGTGACCCCTGTCGCTTCACCCCTGTAGAGTTTCTACGATACAGGGGGAGCCGCGCACTCGTGCGCGGCGGGTCATACAACGTATGACAAGAATTTCTAAGGTGCACTTAGTAAAACTCGTAAATTAATTAAATTGTCGTGAGTTCGTACAGTAATTCTAAATCTCGATCTAACAATTCTGACAACATGATTATTATATTGTAATATAATCCTGAATGAAAATAACTTGATTGTAAGTACAGTAATTCATAGCTCTTTGACACAAGCAAAACTGAATCAATACACCCTAAACTAAAACAGCACATACTCCACTAAATGTGGCTCTTTTATTAAAACAGCTATCTTTACACTTTAAAGACTTCCCAGCTCACTTTAAAGACTTCCCAGCTCACGTGTCATGGTCATTGAGAATGAGACAGTTATATGAACCGGCCCTTTAGGATTTTTGTCAACTATCGCCAATTGCTAATATAAAGTCCTCAGTTTAAATTCTGGATATTCTTGAAAAGTACTTTCGGGCCGGCGAATGACCTCCTCCTGGCTCTTTAGTGCGCAACAGAGAACGCAGATATGATTCCCAGAATGAAGAGGAGAGTACAAATGACGGTAACCACGGCAACCACCCAGGTCCGGCTCCACCAGGAACTGTAGTACGGTGTCATTGTCATGACGTCACGCAACTGAGGGGGGTTTTCAATAATCGTACACTGTATCAGTATTATAGCATACATGTTACTGCTATTATTGGTCGAGAAAATATAGTAACACTAACACAGATTAATTAGACTACGGGTATTTGCCTCACAGAATGGCCAAAAAAAAGGAAGGTCTCTCAAAGTCACAAAACACACTTTATTCTAGTTTTTATCTCATAAGAAGCTAAGTTGACACTCATATTTTTCTTCCCGGGGGTTCATTTAATCTCATAACCATTTTTTCTTTGAGAAAAATTGGCCGGAAAATCTTCCTCCAAAAAAACATGCCTCACAGAATGGCTAAATCTGAATTTCTATAATTTTGTTGATGGAGATACTTTTTAAATTTCTATCACCACACGTTCTTAGAAAACCTATTAAGGAATGGGGTAATAACCTAAAACTCACGAAAAAACTGAGCTGTGAAAAATTATTTCACAAAAAAGAAAAAATGCCTGACAAAATGGCAAAAAAAAAAGAAAACGAGAAAATTTTATTTTTCTAAAACCTTTGGCTCTTGTTTCAGGCATGCTGCTGGTATTAATATGCCTTGTTAACACCCCTATATAGGTGAAATTTCTTAGAACTGAATAAAAAGGGCATAATTTCCTACACCAAAAATGGCCATTTTGTGTGGCGTTGTTCATATTCCCTGATTTCATGATTTATAACCTTCATTCGGCTGTAAAAACACTCCATCTGGGGTGTTATTGTATGATAAATAGCTTGTGAATACTTTAGACTTATGGTTTCATTGAATAAAAGGAGTTTTAAATTTTGGCCATTTTGTGAGGCATATTTTGGCCATTTTGTGAGGCGTTTAGCCATTTTAACATTTTGTTTCTTCCTAAATTGAACAATGTTCGTTTTGTTTGATGAATACTATTCTTTAAACATCTTCTGTCATACTGGTGCCAGAAGTTCTCACCAAAATGCAAACTTAGTTCAAAAATTTGAAAACAAATTTTGTGAGGCATATTTTGGCCATTTTGTGAGGCGTGTAGCCATTTTAGCATTTTTTTCTTCCTATATTGAACAATGTTCGTTTTGTTTGATGAATACTATTCTTTGAACATCTTCTGTCATACTGGTGCCAGAAGTTCTCACCAAAATGTAAACTTAGTTCAAAAATTTGAAAACAAATTTTTCAGTGCTCAAAATTTCTACATAAACAGTCATATTTATGCCAGAAAATGTGGTCCTAGTTAATGATTTCACCACAGGAAGTGTTGCCAGAAGACTTTTGTTTCATATGGTATCCACAAAACCTACCAGTCTTTTATAAAAAATTAGTTACAAAAACATTTACAAATTTGGCCATTCTGTGAGGCTAGCCATTCTGTGAGGCATTTACCCGTATGTCTATACTCCATCGCTTCACCAAGCTCGACATCCGTTTAATTGCAAATGTCATTTATGAGAAGTGATAAAAGTTAAATAAAGAATTGCAAATACCTTAGCGTATTTGTCCAGCAGCTGCATCCGGTCCTCTTCCCGGAAAGACAAACTAGCAGAAATGCTCTTCTCAATCCACGCGTCTACTCTACCGAACACTCTCCTGCACTTCCTTCTGCTCTGAACTTGAAGCATGATCGGGATGAACCCTATTAACAGGAATGCTATCAGACCTGTAGATTAACTATTTTAGTGTTTGAGTTCGGAAGACTCACTTAAACCCGTAAAACCCTTCATTGGAGATTTGGAATTTTGCTGATGAATGTGGACATGGCTGCCATTTAAAAATATTTCACAATCCATTATTCAACAGTTCATTAGATTTAGATACCTGCATATTTTGAGAGAGTCTTCAGATTTGAGATGAAAAGAGCACCACTGATAGGAATTATAGAAATGAAACAACCGACAAGCTTCAGTTTATTCTTGTACTTCGGGTCCGTGCTCAAATCGCGTCCTGGAAAATTAGTTCGTTATGCTGTTATTAGCACTATAGTTTGATAGCAACAGGGCCAGGGCAATAAATAAATGATTGTGGGGAAAGAGGCTGGCTCCAAGGGTGATATGCTCCAAGGGTGATATATAGGTAATAAGGGGAAGGTTGGAATTTGGTATCCAAGATATTACTAACCGGTGATAAGAAGACCAAGGTTGGCGACCATGGTGATGACACACAGAGGGTAGGCGCTGCACACAACTACACTCGGTGTCAACATGATAAGATAGCTGATCATACGGATCAGCATCGGATTTCCAGGTTGTCTGGTGACGTTCTGAAATAATCATTACTATTAGTTAACCATCCGTCGATGAGTCTATTTACTGATTACTCTTAAATGTGTTCAAGGACAGAAAGACCATTTGATTGTTTATTATAACCATCCATCACAATTAATAATTATTGTGAATTTTCAAAACTTGCCCAGTTAAGAGAAGCAGTGGCTGCCACATCCTCCCGGAATCTCAGAGCTGTCAGGATTGAAAAGGTCAGATAGACCGTACCTGAAATAGTACAGTAGCACACTTGTCTTAGAACGCACCTGAAATACTACAGTAGCTGCACACTTGTCTTAGAACGCACCTGAAATACTATAGTAGCAGCCATCAAAGCATGATCTTTGTGGTTTTTGTGGTTTTATTTGTCTCTTCTATTTGGACTAACTGTAACGTCATACTTAACTAGTGAATTCTTCTAGTTTCCCGAGATAGCTCAACTGACATTGGATTAGTGACATTGGATTGTTTGTATTGCTATGACGCGTCATCACGTACAATATCGTAGTGATCTATACTTTTTGCTGATGGTGAGTTGCAGTTCACGTGATTATGATAAGAGCATAATCATATAAGAGCCTCTGTAATGATCTTATACATAAGATCTACATTCTACAATGGTCTGCACTACAAACAATGGTCTGCACTACAAATTGTTATCTGAGGCGCATGCGGTGCTTGGCAACGCTCGTTAACAAGTCCGCGGTGCTTAGCAACGCTCGTTAACAGGGCCACCAATGACCAACGTCATGGTAGCATCATCCAAGTGCGCTACTTCCCGAGCATGTGGAACGCTCCTAGTGGGTACACATGGTTATAACGTTATAAATACACTACTTTACAGCATACAATAATCTCCTAACCCTTCACAGTTTTCAGTCGAATAAGTCAATTGCCAAATGTTATCGCAAGTTATAGCAAGTTATCGCTAGCCGCTACACCAGCTATATAAGATCCTCGGTTACTCCCTTCAAATTTTAATGAATCATATAATCCTTCATTTTACAAACAATACTGTCACTTACCTATAGGGAAACAGCATTAAACGGTAAAAATGCACCTAAAACTACTCAGTACAGAAATTCTGATGGCTTGCTGGCGTTCAGGTTCTTTGCCTGCTTTGTGATCGGTTTAATTACTCATAATCAATACACGTGCGACGAGCGGGCTACGGACATCTTACTATATATAAAGCGAGACGATATATATGTATGTATATATCCGTGCCATTTTACTGACACCACGGCATCAACTTTAACGCAACTTTCCGCAAAAACCGTAAAAGATATACAACTGAAACTTTTTTGACTGGGTCAAATGCCTTAATGGCCTTCAAATCAGCATGAAAAAATTAAAAATTGGCCAAGGAATAATAATTTTAGTGCCCAAAATTTGGACTCCCAAGTGGTGTCAAAAACGCGAATTAAATAGGTAATAATTATTTTATTCTCTCGAGTCTTGACACCACTTTAGGGTAGACGGGTTCCTGCTAGTGACTTTAATAGTTTAAATTTCTTATTACTTTATTATTATAGTCATAGCGAGATAAAAACAATGCATATGCAAAGCGAGCATGTGTTGCAGACCTCTACGATCTGAAAGGGTCAATCAACAGTTATCACTGTAATCACGTGCCTTTAATCACGTACATTACAGATCTTAACAACGCGGTCTATTAGCGCACCCTGCCCCGGCTTATGAGTTGTTCCCTCATTAATTATTTTATTACTATACCGTTTATACCGGTGTCTTAGGTTATAAATACAGAAAAGTTACCAGTGAGCCACAGCTTTAAATAATTATCGGTTTTATTCAGTACTTAAAGGTCTTAACATACGTTTGTGATAAAGTAGTCCAAGAAACTTTCCATATATTGATTCAAGCTACGCTAATTATAAGTTTTAGGATGAATGAGACTTCGATCCTGGAAACTACTCAGTACAGAATTTATGATGGCTTGCTAGCGACTAGCGTTCGGGTTCTTTGCCTGCTTTGTGATCGGACTGCCAGAAAACTGTCTAGCTTTGAGATATTTCGTCCACACAAAAAAACGAAATCTGTCAACTCTTCTTTACATAGTTGCCTGTTCTACTTCTAGTTCTATCGATATAGGTTCCTCTGTCATTCACCTCCCATTTGCTCTTAATCTGCTGAACACCACTTTAGAGTTAGACGGGTTCCTGCTAGTACTGATAACTGATAAGCATGAGTCTAATCGGTGTAGAAAAGAAGCATCGAAATGTTATTTCCATAACATTTTTTGTCCATTTTTGTCCGCCGTATTTTTTGTCCGTCTTGAAAATATAGGGTACCGCACGTACAAAAACAGACACAAAACATGAGCCCCCCCCCCCTATCCTTTTAAGAGCCCCAGGGGATTAGCACAATAATGTCATAGCCTCGCCTACCCTAGGCCTAGCAGCGAGATTACTCGCGTTGCAATATTGAAAACGCCAACTTGGAGCTGTTGCCTTGACAAAAACTGGCTTTTCTAGATGATGAAATTTGCAAGCTTTTGGTCTATTTACAAGCTTTTGGTCTATTAATTCGACAGCCTGATGCCTTTACCCCGTTGAAACTCAGTATGATCATTTAACTGCCCAATTTAAGCTCTTAACTCCAATCAGAAACCGAGTTATTTTGATTTAAAGTGCTGTAATTGCTATTAATATTATCACGAGAGTGCAAATAGGTGCAGCCTCATAACTAATGTCCTAATTATGCTGTACACCCCTAAATGTCCTAATTATGCTGTACACCCCTAAATGTGATAATGCTGGATATCTTTATGCCCAAGTGTGGCTTTTGACTTTAATCAGAGGCCAAAGTTTTATTTCGAAGTCGCAAAAGCGCCAAAAAAAGCGTGGTCGATTGCGCAAAACTGCATCATACTCCATAGTTACAATTTCTACCCAAGCCAAATTTGTTTCCGATCGGTTCCTTGAGGTATTCCAATTCTTTAACCCGGCCCCGGGGCTAAAATGTTTTAGACGGGAATGTTACCTGATCCATGAGTATATATAGATATCACCGCAGCCTTGAGGGCGGTACTAAATATTGCACGCGCGTGCGCGTGCAATATTTTATATCTCCACGAGGGCGCTAGCCCGAGGCGGAGATATTTTCGTATAGCACGGAGGGCCCAACGGGCCCGAGTGCTATACGATAGTTCCGCCCTCATGGCGAGGAATGATATCGTGTATATCCATGAGCGGGCGCTTTACAGTTTTCAACAATCATAGCAAATAGAAGTAAAAGATTTCGAACTAAAGCTGCAAATTTAATAGAAAATCATGCTTTAGCCTTTGGTGTAAGATGCAGAACAGGGCAACATTACTGATTATATAACACAATAGAAGAATTGAAATCCCACGTACTATAATGGTATTACACACCAACCAAATTGATGAACAGTCAACGGGATGTTAATCATTAACATAGATTAAAAATTGTGTATCTCCGTCAATCCATACTACGAGTAACACAGAATTCCTGTTACCATGACAACACGTCAGATGTACAATGAGAGTTAATCAGTACACAGTGTGTAGGGCCGGTCAAACAATAAATTCAGCTTAAACTATCAAAAAGAGTGCTCGGCATAACTTTAACAACTGTGTAACTATAAACTGAATGCCATCTGCAGTTACCAAGAGAGCTCAAGATAACGAAGCACGAAGGGACATTGAATATATATTATATATATTTTACGTTGAGTAAAAGATCAAATTCATCACATCAATATTAGTAGTAGACGGTATAGTTTCAAAACAAAAAACAGGGCAAAATTTCTTTCGGGAACACAATAGAATTACACGTAAAATTCCGGCCTAAAATTTCAAGAATTATTACTCGAAATAGCTTGAGCAATTATGGAAATGGAAATCAGTTGAAATAAACAATGGGGCGTGTATGGTGTATACTGTATAAACATCAACTCTAGACTTAAAGTCGCCACTAATTGTTGCAACCATGGTAACACGTCACGTGTTCAATGTCAGCCAATCATATTGCACTGCGTGGTATAGGGACTGAGGCCGATAAGTGATATAGGTAGTGCATTCCTTGAGCCGTGGGAACCATTAAGATGTAGTGTTAGTGACATAAATATGGTGTACGTGTCTTGTTATAGTTAAAGTTTAATAGTTTAGGCCCCAAAAATTTGTTTGAAAGTGAAAGTGCTCCGGGCTGTATTGTTACTTGTCACTTTAAGTATCATCTGCTCGCGTGCTGTATTTTAAGCGGGCTGGACGCGCACTGTGTCTTGTTACATCGGGCTGCGAGAGGTCAGAAGACAAAATATAGCCCGCTGGTGGATATAAAGGGGAATATAATAATTTAAAAACTATAAGTCATAAGCATGAGCAGAGGAACAGTTCAGAAATTTGGCTGTTGAGTCTAAAAAATATGTTTTTTTGCTCTAATTTATAATCTAGGCAGACTTAAATTTCAACTAAAACATGCACTGAACGATGGACTGAAACTGGTTCGTGAAAAACATAAACAGTTGGCCACGATGAATATTTACAATAATTTTGGGTACTTTTGGGGTATTATGGGGACTTTATTATGGGGGATTTCCAAAATCCATTAAGCCATTCCCCAATCCCCATAATACCCCAAAATACCCCTTGGCTTCCCCCTATTATAGTACACAGTCTTGCTCATTTGTTTAAATTGGTTATGCAGGCTTAAACAAGAAGATCTTGTTAAAGAAGATCTTACTTTGACATCAAAATCGGAAATGTCATGGTGAACCATCATATAATTTATACGTTCAGCTATGCAAGATTTCTCTGTAGTGGCTTTTTATGGCTTTTAGAGACAATACTCTAATTTATCTTCCTTACAAATAGCAACCAAGTCCCAAGACGATGGAGAAAATTTGTCATGTATTCATCATGCTGGTGTTTATGCCGCCACCATCTTCGAATGATCCGTTTTACGGTAAGGAAAAAATATATTAATTTGATGTAAATTAGAATTTATTGGTATTTCGTTCAATCATAGCTCAAAATTGGATAAATAACTTATATTTTACACAAGATATATGCACGAAGAAGGATACTGATTTCTATGGAAACGATATATCCTGGATAGCGAATTCACCTTCCATGATGGACTGCTTGTCAAAATGCAGCGAAACTGACGACTGTAAGTCCGTGGGTTTAATGCAGAATTATGGTCAAAAGTGCTACCTAAAAAGGAAGAGATACGGGGACAGAGTGACTGAAACGCACGGGGTCTACTCTAGAAATCTTGATTGTGGAGGTTAGTGGTTGCTTAATCAAAACGGCTTAGTTAGGAGTTTGGCGCGTGGTCGTCCGAAAACCGTTGTAAAATCGTATCATAAGACGGTTCCATTGCTCTCCTGTGTAAAACAGAAAAACAGCCATCTACCAAGGATTTTGAATGCGCGTTCCTGGCGACGAGAAGTAGAGCATTCAACAGTCTGCATGATTTAGAATAAGGAAATCCTTAACCAAGATATCTGGTCGATTCGAAATTGTATCGAACTAAAAGGCAGCATTTTGTCCCGGCTCAATAATAACGTTATATCGTCACTGACTTGCACTGGAAACAGCTTGTGTGACTTAAATTCTATTTGCGACAGTGTCACGTAATCGACAGGATAAAAGGCCTTGTTGATTATTTAATATTCACATGAGGCCGAGGGCGTGGAATGCGATGCATGGCACTTCAACACGAACTTTAGTACTTTTTTAGTCTTATCTTAATAAATTTTAAAAAATAACAACGGCACAAGGCTTCATCATAGCAGATAAAGGTTTAGAAAATCCACGATGGCGCACCCAGTATCATTAGAAATGGAACTTCAAATATCTAAAGAGAACTCTTTTCTTTTTCCGAATTTCAAATGAAAGTAAAGCCCTTGGTAAGGTGAAGCGTGATGACAGTCTGCTTGAAGTTTAAAGCAATAAATTACATAAAGCCTGTCATGATAGCAGAGATAAGATAACGAGTAATGTAATTTTCACTTTATTTTTTCCGTTGAACTCAAATGTGATACTTGAGGAGATATCAGGAAATTTGGTCTAATTTTAGAACATACGCCAAATATATATCAGTCACTGATATCATTAAAGTCACAGGTCCCGTGAAATAATGCGATACAACATGCAAACAAGTAAAGTTAAGACTTACAAGCGAAAGACAGGGCACCAGCGAACAAACTGACAAGTAAAGTTAAGACTTACAAGCGAAAGACAGGGCACCAGCGAACAGCTTGTGTAGATTTTTCTTGTCCCGGGCAGGTTGCGCTATCATGGGGATACCCTCGTGTAGAACTTGGGAGTATACCACAATCGGTACCATGTTCACGAAACCTGGGTAGTGGGTATACAGGGTGTACCACAAAGTGTGAATTTCTTCCACTTTAATAGTTTTTCGACACAATATATTGACACAATGTGATGAAGAGTTTTTAGCAACTGCTCCTTCATGATATTTTGTATCATTTCTCAAAAAATCACACTTTCTGTGGTACACCCTATAGTTGTAATTGTGCGAGGTTTTGGTGCAAAAGCTAAATATTGGATATTCATCGAGTTAGATTTTATAGTAGAACACCAAAGATATTTATTTAAACTTATGTATAATATATATTATCAAGCGTCGACTTTAAAACATTGAAAAAAATAAATCTTACTTGTGAAATCAAAGGCGAAAAAGCGTGTAGGATGGGGTTGATGCTCACCGTCGGCAATGTTACCCGTAGCGAGCCCGTATATACAGTGTATTATACCTACACCTATTGTGAACTGAAAAAATTTAATATATTAAAGTCACTATTGTGACGGTACATAAGAACTAGACAGAAACAAAGTGTGAAGGGCCTGAACGGAACCCCTCGGTTTCAGTTCCTTGTTTAACACTGCCGTACAGCAAGGACATCCACCGGGTTCTCCAAGGATATATACAGCTCCAACCTCTAATTCTCTAATTCGAATATAATAATAATATTTATATAAGCTGTTAAACACTAAAGAAGTGCAATGAAGTACAGCGAACCCTTTATTATGATCTATCAATCTTATTTCTAAAGAAGATTTTACTTTTTACCTGCATGATAAAGCTAAGAGCTATCTGGAAGGGCTTCATAGTGCTCACGTCCATGGCTGATATTGGTATCACTATGCACGCAAATATCAAGACTGAAAATCTGAGGAGACAAAGCGTGTCAGCAGTATTTCTGGTAGTCTGATACAGAAATAGAAAGAAAACATGCACAACTTATCACCATGTAGTTGTACTTCATTCACTTTAGCCCTCTGCGATTCAGAAGATCTGTCATAACTTAAATGGAAAGTAATTACTTGCCTGTCAGTTAGTAAATTAGTAGTTACTTTATTTAATTAATTAACTTAATTAATTAATTAGTTTTAATTGCCTGTAAGAGTTGAGACAGTCTCCCCCAGGTAGCAGCCCCTCGTAGTCAGATAGATTACACAGGCCGAGAGAGTGGATGGAGGTATTGTACGGTATTACCAGAGACCAGGTAGAAGCGAATATTGTAGCGTATGCACATAGCGTAACCAGCAGGTATACCTAAAGAAAAATTAGTTTTAGACAATTAACTATGTAAAACCAATAATTTATTGATGAATCATTTAGTTGCGATTAATAATCGTCATGATACAGAAAAAACGTGAATTTATTAAAATTACTCAGCGGAACAGAGCTCCAAATGAGATTCGTCCACTTTCTAACTTAACTCAACCGATACAGAAAACTCACAATAATCAAAGAAGCAGTAATAACTCAACCGATACAGAAAACTCACAATAATCAAAGAAGCAGTAATAATCCAACCGATACAGAAAACTCACAATAATCAAAGAAGCAGTAATATTCCAACCGATACAGAAAACTCACAATAATCAAAGAAGCAGTAATAATCCAACCGATACAGAAAACTCACAATAATCAAAGAAGCAGTAATAATCCAACCGATACAGAAAACTCACAATAATCAAAGAAGCAGTAATATTCCAACCGATACAGAAAACTCACAATAATCAAAGAAGCAGTAATATTCCAACCGATACAGAAAACTCACAATAATCAAAGAAGCAGTAATAATCCAACCGATACAGAAAACTCACAATAATCAAAGAAGCAGTAATAATCCAACCGATACAGAAAACTCACAATAATCAAAGAAGCAGTAATAATCCAACCGATACAGAAAACTCACAATAATCAAAGAAGCAGTAATAATCCAACCGATACAGAAAACTCACAATAATCAAAGAAGCAGTAATAATCCAACCGATACAGAAAACTCACAATAATCAAAGAAGCAGTAATAATCCAACCGATACAGAAAACTCACAATAATCAAAGAAGCAGTAATAATCCAACCGATACAGAAAACTCACAATAATCAAAGAAGCAGTAATAATCCAACCGATACAGAAAACTCACAATAATCAAAGAAGCAGTAATAATCCAACCGATACAGAAAACTTACAATAATCAAAGAAGCAGTAATATTCCAACCGATACAGAAAACTCACAATAATCAAAGAAGCAGTGATAATCCAACCGATACAGAAAACTCACAATAATCAAAGAAGCAGTAATATTCCAACCGATACAGAAAACTCACAATAATCAAAGAAGCAGTAATAATCCAACCGATACAGAAAACTCACAATAATCAAAGAAGCAGTAATATTCCAACCGATACAGAAAACTCACAATAATCAAAGAAGCAGTAATATTCCAACCGATACAGAAAACTCACAATAATCAAAGAAGCAGTAATATTCCAACCGATACTGAAAACTTACAATAATCAAAGAAGCAGTAATATTCCAACCGATACAGAAAACTCACAATAATCAAAGAAGCAGTAATATTCCAACCGATACAGAAAACTCACAATAATCAAAGAAGCAGTAATAATCCAACCGATACAGAAAACTTACAATAATCAAAGAAGCAGTAATATTCCAACCGATACAGAAAACTTACAATAATCAAAGAAGCAGTAATATTCCAACCGATACAGAAAACTCACAATAATCAAAGAAGCAGTAATATTCCAACCGATACAGAAAACTCACAATAATCAAAGAAGCAGTAATATTCCAACCGATACAGAAAACTCACAATAATCAAAGAAGCAGTAATAATCCAACCGATACAGAAAACTCACAATAATCAAAGAAGCAGTAATAATCCAACCGATACAGAAAACTTACAATAATCAAAGAAGCAGTAATATTCCAACCGATACAGAAAACTTACAATAATCAAAGAAGCAGTAATATTCCAACCGATACAGAAAACTCACAATAATCAAAGAAGCAGTAATATTCCAACCGATACAGAAAACTCACAATAATCAAAGAAGCAGTAATATTCCAACCGATACAGAAAACTCACAATAATCAAAGAAGCAGTAATAATCCAACCGATACAGAAAACTCACAATAATCAAAGAAGCAGTAATATTCCAACCGATACAGAAAACTCACAATAATCAAAGAAGCAGTAATATTCCAACCGATACAGAAAACTTACAATAATCAAAGAAGCAGTAATATTCCAACCGATACAGAAAACTCACAATAATCAAAGAAGCAGTAATATTCCAACCGATACAGAAAACTCACAATAATCAAAGAAGCAGTAATATTCCAACCGATACAGAAAACTCACAATAATCAAAGAAGCAGTAATATTCCAACCGATACAGAAAACTCACAATAATCAAAGAAGCAGTAATATTCCAACCGATACAGAAAACTCACAATAATCAAAGAAGCAGTAATAATCCAACCGATACAGAAAACTCACAATAATCAAAGAAGCAGTAATATTCCAACCGATACAGAAAACTCACAATAATCAAAGAAGCAGTAATATTCCAACCGATACAGAAAACTTACAATAATCAAAGAAGCAGTGATAACCCAACCGATACAGAAAACTCACAATAATCAAAGAAGCAGTAATATTCCAACCGATACAGAAAACTCACAATAATCAAAGAAGCAGTAATATTCCAACCGATACAGAAAACTCACAATAATCAAAGAAGCAGTAATAATCCAACCGATACAGAAAACTCACAATAATCAAAGAAGCAGTAATAATCCGGCCGGGTTTCCCAAAGAATACCTCCATCAGCTCTGTAAACTCAAACTTCCTGGCAGCTGTTATCTCATATTTAGGCTTTAACAGTCTGGTCCTTGAGTTGACACTACCAAAGGTGTTATTCCTGTAGGAATAATAAAAATCTAAGTTTAAGTAACACCACTATTAAGATAAAACTTATATACTCAGCAGAATAAATCAATTAATTAAATTAAATAAGAAAATAGAATTCGTTATATCGCGCGATAGGCAGTTTGAGTTGATGGCCAGAGTAAACCTACAAAAAAAAACATTTTAAAAGACTGGACCGTATAAAAATTTCGAACTATGAAACTTGAAAGTAGGGGCATCAACTATCCATCATTTGACCTACTGATTACGGATTAGTTATAATTAAAACTTTTGACCTACTGAGTACTGATTAGTTATTAAATAGTTGTTAAGACGTTAGGACGTACCTTCTACCAACGATGGAGACGTCATGGAAGTTGAGATCTGGAATATCCGATTCTCTGATCACTGTGTCTAAAGCCTGGTTAAAACACAGTGGTTAAAACACAGTTTTAAAACACAGTTTTAAACTAATAACAACACTACAAAGCTATTACATTTATTGAGAATTATGTAATGTAACGTGATGGAAATATTTTAAACGGACATATCCTGTCCAAACCCAGGATGCACTACATGAAGAATTCGTTGTAACTTTGTTTGAAAAGCATTAATAGATACATATAAATTTCTAGCCATCACGAGGATGTAATTATAATAATGATAAATTCTCGCTGATCGAATTTTTATTCGAAACATCCTCAGTTCGAAAACTTCGAAAAATTTTGACTGTACAATGTACATAATATGTTTTGTACGTTGCTGGAATATCAAATAAATAAGAAAAGTTTATAAAAATAGCAGTTACCTGTGCTCTGGAGCAAGTTTCCAGGGTCCAATTACTAGTAATAACAAGGGTCAATGTTACTAAAATTAGAGTCATAGCTCCCCACATTATACCCCCGTGGTAGAACACGTAGGGCATGGAGAAGAACCCGGCTCCGATGATGAAGTTTATGGACATGATGAAAGCAGGTACCATCCCTATCTCCGGTACATCCTCCTGCGGATGGTAAGGGTTGGTTAAGCTTGAATTGAGGGAGTTTGAATAACCTACGTTGAGCACCGATACTTACAAAGCTTTTGTGTATAATTCTGATAATGGTATGGATGTAAAATGATGAAGGAGAATCTGATTCCGACTGGAATAACAGGGATTATTTTGTTACTGCAAGTCTGAGAGAACGTATGCGGAGTGAAACTTCTCATTACTCTGTTCACTGTTGACCTACCTCATACTCGCTCCCCTCAGAGTTGATTGACTGTTTAAATGTTCTGACAGGGATTCCTTCGTTCATTCTGAAAGCTGGAGTGAGGTAAATTTTATGTGAAATCGGGTTGATTTTATTTTCCACAGAAGGTCTAAAAGTACAATGAACAGCTGGATAACGAATTGCTTTAAACAAGACTTGGATGTAATATTAACGATACAAACCACGACTTAATTAGAACAATAAACTAAAACTCAACAAGAAAAATTTCAAGCTACAAATTAAAAAGGGAAACGGAATTTATAAGTAAAGTTAGAAACTTCAACCATTCGAATAAATGGCATACAGTATTTCTGTGACTTAACAATATTACGCACCAATTCTTAGAATAAGTAAAATTGTGATTTGAAACGATACGCACACCATGTACTAATATAGTCAGAACAAGGAAGGAATTAATACATGAAAAAGATAACAGGAAACGTACTCCTTACGTAGTCAAGTGGCAGGAGGGTTCAAATTACACGTATAGAGTCACTAGACCAGACGGCGCAATCTCTCAAGATATACAGTCTCGCAAAATGTACAGTCTTATCTTTAAAAACGTACAGTCTTATCTTTTTTTAAAGCATGTCTGTAATCTTAATACACCTCGGTGGTGATTATGAGTAGTATGTGATAAATCATAAAATATTACATTTCCAATTTTGCAGGAGGTGAAATTAACGCTGAAATTTAAACTGAGCAAAATGAATTCGAAATGTGCAAATACTGATAAAGCGTAAATTTGCGATTCTTGTAGATAAAAATGGGTCGAATTTTATTTGAAATAAGAAATTATTAAGTTTCTCCAATCTTTATGCATTGATGATTATCATAGTGAGAATTGTGATATCATTATCTCTATTTGGTCTTTATATCACGTATTTATAATTATTTATCGCGTCCGCATCATATCTTTCCCAATAAATTCATGCTCTCTTTGTTCCTCAATAGTAAGGTAATCCCACTGGGAGACAACATTCAATTTAAAATTGAGAATCGAATAAATTTTAACCAACCTCCGAAACGGAACATGATTCTGGATCCAATGAATCAATATCGGGAACTCAGGATAGCCGATAGGCGCTTATCAAAGTACAAAGTTATGTTATCGTCTGCAGTGTATCTAGATATAAACTGATAATTGTATGCTCTTTCTAATCCTATCGCATTTCAAATTTGAATACCATATTCATAAAAAATCAGGAAAATGTGACCAATGTTCTACCGAGTAAGGTAATCAACGTCAACTAACTAATGAACCGACGAAATTGAATAAAGTCTCTGTTCAGCTGAAAAAGTTAATCAGCTGGTGTCAAATATCAATAGACTGGAAACATGACGAACATGCAAAGTATGAACCACGATAACATTAATTATACTAATAGGTCAGACGTCATATCAGTAGGTGCTAGAAGGTATGTAACAGGTTAATACGATACCCTCTCAAAATTTTTTATCAAAGAGCCTTCAGATTAGATTGTTCATAGCGGCTTGTGAGTCAGTACTGCAATAATACGGATCAGAAACCTGGACACTGACAAAGGCTCAAGAGAAAAGTTCGGACGGGACATACACAAAGATGCTGGGTATGGTGCTGGGTCTCATGGAAAGACAAGGTGAAAGGTCAGCAATATAACTTTGTATGGTAGCCTAGTGCCTACCGAGGCTGTCAAACAAGTTACGAAGCAGCTGAGATTAAAAATGGCGGGACACTGCATCAGAAATCCTGAGCTACTTGCCCGTGATTTAGTCTTATAGAAACCTATGCATGGTAGATTGGTAGAGCACAGCAAGGCCGACCAAGACAAAGCTACTTGTCTATGTTACTGAAGGAAGTTGGGACAAACTCTAAAGAGGAACTGCGAACCCTGATGCGGGACAGGGATATAATATATATGGAGGGGGTTATCTGGCGTAGATCGGACTTAGTTCCGACATAGTATTATAAAAAAGTATAGTAGTACTTAGTAGCTGTAGTAGTATAAAGTAATATAAAATGTTGTATTTATTGAAGTAAGAAAATATTTTACTTAGAAAATGCTCAGTATGTACCCAAGCCACTATAAAATGTACAATTTACAATGTATAAACTATAATGCGATGAAAGTGAGGTAATCCCACTGAGAGACAACTCACAACGTACAATTTAGAATTGAATCAATTTTAACCAATTACCTCCAAATTATAACGGAACATGATCCTGGATCCAATGAATCAATATCGGGAACTCAGGATAGCCGATCTGCCGATAGGCGCTTATCAAAGTACAAAGTTACGTTATCGTCAGAACAAGAAAGTTGCAAAAAATAGGAATTGGTATTTTCCTTGACGGATGTTACTCGTCTAAATTTCTTCAAAGTAGCGCGCCGCTTTCTTCTCGAAAAATGGCAAGTGCTACGAAGTAGCGCGCGCCGGGCCAGATCATTAACAATGGTCAAGTATTTTCCTTGCACATGCATATTACATTATAAGCCACAATCGACTCTCGGGTGCGACTGCCGACTTATAGAACTGAACAGTGAACAGCTGGTACAAACGAGGCTATCTGACATACAACACGTAAACATGAACAAAGTTACACTCGATATACAACGTTCACTGAACGAATATTGTACATCAGACACATCGCACGTGTTTTTTTACGCGCGCGCACCCACGTGCGATGATAACGCGCTCCAATACTCCAATAGGTTAATTTATGACACGTGACCTCTGGTAGCCCTAAGCTAAGGGGTCTTTCGAAAGTTCCCACACATTTATTATTATATCGTTTATTTATGTTTCGTAGTTGGAACTGTTTTCAGATGCGCGGCGCTGGGGCGGCTTGTCGCAATTGAAGTTGAATCGTGTGGGCACGTAAAGTGCATATAAACTTAAAGGTGCTGACCAAAAGTGATCAAATTTAAACTTCATACAGTTACACGAGAAATGTATTTATGAAAGGCGAGTCATTTTTGTTGTTACGAGACTTTTGAGTTCGTGGTAAATGTAATTCAAGTTGTCTGTTTTTACTTTTTGATTCCTCCATCCGTTCGCGTTCATTTGTATTATCCATGAAACATAAATTACGTTAAGTTATACTTATATCTACTATAACGGTTTCTTGAGCTGTCACTTCAATCAATGGAATATAAACATTACACAATCAGTAATTATAGCACAGGCCACCGGATATGTATTTTAAGTTCACCCTCCGTCTCAGCCACATGGCAACCTTTTATAATAAGCCAGCGATTTTCAAGTTTTGAAGTAACATTCTTTTAATATATAACATCGCGTTGTCAATGGACCTTTCTCAGCGATCTGATGTGGATCATGGTTCTATAAGTTTTACAGTTTACTCTCATGGTGTAGCCAGTTAAGTTAGTGTCGCCTGGTCCCCGTGATCATGACGATTGTGGTATTTATATACTCTGAATAAGCCAGGGTTTTTGCTAAACTAATATTGATTAAAATTAGTAAAAGCTATTTGCTTACGCGTTTCAGCTAACATTCGTCCGTTTTGCTATTTTTCCAATTCCACAGCAGAAGATGAGCGACTGGTCGGGTGAGTGTTTTTAATCACCCCTTTATTTTCTGGATATAAATTATAGTGCCTCTGTTTTACATTCCAAACCATTTACGAAATCAGAGCTAATTTAAGATTATTTGCAATTATAAGCAATTTTCCGAAGCAATTTAGAACCGAAAAAAGTCTAATTACGCACTTCTATTACGACATTAGAACATTAGGCATCAAATTTAGATTTTATTTCAAATTGGTTCAAACTTTTAGACGTTTAAGCCAAAATCAAGACCAGAAATTAGCCTATAATATATATAATAGGACGGCTCCTAGGACTGAACTAGTAATTTGTCTATCCGCCACTATAACTGTTTTCTCAAGCCAAAAACGTTAACTCAAAAACTTAAGAGTTAGAGCTGACACAGACAAGGCATGGCGATACAAATTTCTCTATAAAATGCTTGTAGTTGTACTCATATTGAATTCATATACATTAGTATCTTCTTTATGGTATTTACCATCCCATTACCATATGATTAAAAGTGAATATGCGGGAATGGGTACCCTCGTCTGTTTTTTATCACACTCATCTTCTCTAGATCAATTGAAAATCTCTGTTTTATTCATTTATTAACAATCGATACACCATTGTCATTATAAAAAGCAAACAATTGAAAATGTTGAAATAAAACTTTTGTGAAAACTCTAGTACAATAATTTATGAATGATCTATAAAAATCCAAACAACAGTAACCATGGCAACTCGTATTAAACAACATTATTAAATATGTGAGCTAAACTAAGTTGAATAATGAATATCCGTTAATTTTTGATTTGTTGAAAATAATGAATATCAAAAGTACCTCAGTTCTCTGTTCACAGCCTTAAAATTTAATGTTTGATTGGATAATATATTTCATATGACAGCAAATATAAGGTTAATTAGTGGCACCTTCTATTAAATGGATATAGAACGGCCCCTCCTAACATGTTACATGTAATAATTTGCTAACCACTTTATCAAAAAGCGTCACATGATTAAAAGAATTCCCAAATACAATCAACAATTTAAAAATCTCAGGATTGTCCTAAGTCCTCAGTTCAGGTACAAAGGGATGGATAAGGGACGATCAAGATCAATTTGCTTTTGATTATTTCCAGCTTCGTTGCAGCGCATCCCCTAAACTATATAATTTCCAAATCTTGGCTGAACGTCGACATAATGTCACTTGGATATTTCCGAATCCAAGGTGGCGTCTTGCGAATATACACAATAAACTATATTAGCTTCTCAATCTACTAAAATCTGATAAAAACACCATCGTGAGGCAAACGAGCGCATGTACATGTAACATGCGCATGAGCACATGTAATACGCACATGTGCTCGCGTGTATGTGTTCTACGTTTGCGTGTTAGTTATTTGGTCTTTTTCCACCTGTTGGTAACCTGCATTTCTCTGCTCCTGAGCCTGCTTGGCCGCCTGTTGAGCCGCCTGCTGAGCCTGCTGCCTTTTTTCGTTTTCTGGACTGAACTTTTCGAAGGCTTTGTTGAACTTAGATACTATGATAGTCATGGGAAGTGCTAGAAAGATCATGGACACGAAGACGAGTATGCTGGCGACCAACTTTCCGGCCCAAGTTTCTGGATACATGTCCCCGTATCCCACCTGAGAGAGTATCTTTGTCTATAACAATTGATTATTGCAATTTATAATTATTATTATAGATCTCAAAATAGCAGTTCCGGACAGGTGCCTTGTCGTCCAATCAGAATCTAAGATTCTCATCAATTTAACTATGAATCTTCTATTTTTACTCCTACTTTAGCATTGTATTCGCGGGTAATGGTGATACCACGACCATGCCGGTCACACAGCTGCCTTATATATAACTGGTCTAGTACATAAATAGATTGTTCATTCAGATTTAAATTGAGCTTGCATATTTAACATATTCTCTTCCTGACAATACTCTAGACGATAGTATGAGTATTAAGATGCTGGAGCAATTGTAGCGTGTGACGCGTCACTGTAACGCACTTGTTGTTCATCAGCGTATGATTGAGATGTTTTTAATGGGTCGGCTGACATGCAAATTAAAATTCAACTCAACATTTAAGCATGATAGTAAGACTGTCTTAAACTTTTAACGAAAAATCAACACTCCATGCACTGTAATTTCAAAGTGATCAATACTTCAATAGTAAGTTTACTGTTAAATATTCAACAGTCAAGTTATTATCATTGACCGACAGGCCTTAATTATGTTTGAAACAGCAACACTCGCAGGTGATACATGAATGTCAAGCAAAATCACATGTAAACATGAACATTAAAGCAAAGCTACATGGAGAGAACTTCGGTGATATAATATATGTTTGTAGCTTAATAGATATATTATATATTAACTTTAAGTTTTGTCAGTAAAACCTAAACTTACTGCGCCCGATTTACCCCAAACCCCAAATTACCACAATTGTTTTCTTCTCCTAATTGAGAGCATTTCATACACTATGAACAATCAAGTTAATCCAATCATCCCTAGGGACTATGTTAGTCGCTCGCCTGATTGCTATCATCTGATAGTGATCAAAGGAGCGGCAACCCCGACTTGGCTGTTGTCTATCAAGACATTATCATCTGGAAGCCCAGGGGAATGGGGTATAAATGCTAACCAGGTGGACCCCAGTAGGATACTCCGCATGGAGGGTCGCTACCTCATACCTTGTGACGGTAGTCAGTGGGTGCCGTAACAAAAAAAAAAAAAAAACTATGAACAATCAAAAATCTGATTTACCGCGAAACCCAATTTACCGTGGCTGTTTGCTTTCCCCAAATCAGGGTTAAATCGGGGTTTTACTGACTACAAATATTAAATTATAGGGGCTATGGGGTAATATGTACGACGTACATTTTACTCGCAATACTAGACTCCCTAATTTTAGCATCTTTCGTGCGATCAAAACGAATTGTTTAGTTAGGAAAATGATAATAAATGAAGTGCAACAGATATCAGGCGCATTCGGAAAGATATTTAAGCAGGATATATATGGCACAGTTACAGCAAGGTCACGAACAAGGTCACGGTTTAACTTTAAGGTCAGCAAATTTCTGATCTTCGTACCGTTTACTTGTCCTCCTTAGGTGTTTTCCTTCTGGGCTTCTTGAGGGTTTCAAACGCTTTGTTGAATTTTGATACAATGATAGTCATGGGCAGGGCGAGGAACACCATTGAACAGAATACCAAGACACTTGTGACAACTTTCCCCAGTGCTGTCTCGGGATACATGTCCCCATAGCCAACCTAATGGGTGCACGGTTTGGTATGTAACACTGGGCTTTCCACTCTGATATGTAACGTCGGACACAATTAGCTTCCTCACTACTGGGTTCACGGTTTGGTATGTAACGTCGGACACTTCCTCACTACTGGGTTCACGGTTTGGTATGTTACACTGGACACAACTAGCTATCTCACTACTGGGTTCACGGTTTGGTATGTAACATCGGACACTTCCTCACTACTGGGTTCACGGTTTGGTATGTTACACTGGACACTTCCTCACTACTGGGTTCACGGTTTGGTATGTTACACTGGACACTTCCTCACTACTGGGTTCACGGTTTGGTATGTAACATCGGACACTTCCTCACTACTGGGTTCACGGTTTGGTATGTAACATCGGACACTTCCTCACTACTGGGTTCACGGTTTGATATGTTACACTGGACACAACTAGCTTCCTCACTACTGGGTTCACGGTTTGGTATGTAACATCGGACACTTCCTCACTACTGGGTTCACGGTTTGGTATGTAACATCGGACACAACTAGCAATTCCTCACTACTGGGTTCACGGTTTGATATGTTACACTGGACACAACTAGCTTCCTCACAATTGGATCGGCTAATACATCTCTCACATCTAACTGTCATATTTTCATACTTCACAAATCACAGTGACCACCTCACTTCACCCACACTTCGGTGACTGTCACTGGTCCAGCTAACTCACTCCAGCTAACTCACTCCAGCTAACTCAACATGTTTTCTATTTATAATATCCGGATGCTTTGGATGTCCTCTATTATGATGCAAAGCAGGCGTTGTTCAACTTAATCACGTTGATTATCATACTTATATTTTCGTTTCTTCTCACCGACCTCACGTTGTCTGAACAGAACTCGCTAGACGTTTGCACGTGCGCTAGACGTACTATGCACGTGCGCTTGTAATTCACGAGGTTATTGTTCACGTATGATGATGTTGTCGTGGTGTGCACCAGTGGCGTAACGAAGGGCTCTGCTGACCCCGCTGTGCAGGGGGGCGCCGTCTTAGGGGGGCGCCAAATCGTCGTTTGAATGTGGGACAATTTCGAAAACTTAACTAAAGTACTAGCAAAACTGCGCGTTTTGCTCTAGATACACACTTTTTTAGAGATTTTACCGGCGTATCCTCTAAAATCACCTAATTTGTTCAATTTTAGGGAGGGGCACCAAAAGGGGAGGGGGCGCCAACAGGAGGGCGCCTTTTCGGCAGGGGGCGCCAACAGGCAACGTTACGCCACTGGTGTGCACTGTGCATGAAATTAGTTGTAAGGATTGCTCCTTGCACTCAAAATTTAGACTCTCTGCTCTGGCCTCGGATAAATAAATTCAGCACCAGTCAAGAATAACGCAACGTTCTTCAAGAGAACAACATAGTTCAACATATAATAGTTCAAACGGCTTAACGATTATAGGGAAGTGCACCAATCCGTGCACAATACGTATAATAGTGCACCAAAAATCCGTGTAGTAAAAAAAAGGACGAATAGTAAAATCATCGCACGTGCAACGAATAATTGCTTTTCAAAACAACACATAAACCTACCGTTGACATGGAAACGACGCTCCACCAACAGGAATGCATGATTGATTCGAACTTGGTGTCTTTTTGCTCGTGCTCAATGTAGAACATGATTGTCCCGAAGATGAACACCCCCATGAGCCATATAACTAACAACATGGCTAACTCGTATACGCAGTCTAACAGCACCTGGGACAATACTTCCAATAATTCCTAGATTTTAACTTCTGTGGATTTTAACTTCTGTGGATTTATTGTTAATTTAATGTTTGTTTTTTATGGTAAATGATCATGGTGAAATCTAGATCGACTTTTACAGTTTAAGGGTCAAATATTTAGTTATCATTTTAAAAATAGTACAATACCTGAATCATGAGAATCAATCTGCCACTATGTCTGATAAGTTTCAATACCCTCGTTATTCTAAATATCCTGAAATATAATAATAACGATGAGTCTTACTTATCTTTGTTACCGTAATCTAAATATCCTCAAATGTGATTTTATTCGGCTTTGAATATTCGATAATCCGAAGCTTGGAAACATCATTTCACTTAAAATATCCAAAGATAATATTGTCCGTCATTCTGAATACCTTAAAACGGTTGGCCATTTTGTAAACTTTTCTGAATACATAATATGTATATATAAACCCTTTATAACCCTTTATATAATAACGGTTTTAGTTCTTCTAGTCCTTCTAGTTCTTTAAACCAGCTATTTTAGTCTGATTAGATAAAGAAAGAACATCTGGAATTTTCGAAAATCGTGTACAATCGACGATAATCTGCACTCAAGCAATTAACTCCAGCTGTCTTTGTAGAGATGATTGGCCCTCATTATTGTTGAGCATTCAATGATTTAAGACAAACGCCGTAATACACATCAATTGCAGATCACCAGTTCTAGAACCTGATAAGCGTTTACCTAAGCATTTCAAAAGGCATAATTATATAAGTTTACCTCAATATTTTGAAAGGCATAATGATGTTGTTGTTCATTGCTCCCGTTCTCATGAACCCACCCAGCGAGAGCTCCAAATAGAAGGGCATTATTGCCAGGAAATCGAACCAATTTAACGGCTTCTTGAAAAACCTCGCCATGTCCTGAAAGAAAGCTCATTCATTAAACGTGGGGATTGACCGATTTAATTCCGGTTCATCGTTAAATACGCGGTTCAATATTGAAGCATGTGTACATGATGATGACTGGGAATTATCACACGGATTATCATAAATAAGTGATCGGGTGGTGGGCCTCAAAACGTGACCGGTGAGTCGTGCCATCAATGTATTGTACAGTGAACTAACAGATCAAACGATCAATAATTTTCTTGGCTTTTTATGGACCTATCTTTCAAGCCTACAAAGTATAGCACTGCAATTTCGTGCGGTGCGAGCCCCGCCCCTTAATACAGAGGTGAGCATGCACAACAATCTTAAATTGAAAGTTGCTCAGAATTTATAAGTCACATACAGTAAAACCCCGATTTACCGCAGAGTTTGAGGAAAGGAAACAGCCGCGGTAAATTGTTGTTCGCGGTAAATCGGGGTTTGCGGTAAATTTAAATCGGGGTTTTACTGTATTTAAGTATTTAAGACCAGTGGCACAAGAATATGACACTTACTGGGGCTACTAGGCACCTCAACACTATATCCACGGAAAAGAAGCAGACGCACGCGGCGTCCACAGCAAAGTAAGGTGTGTCTGTGTCGCCCGGGCTTCTGTTCTTGTTACCATAGGATTCCACTACCTGAGAAGTGATAAAGTGAGATGATAAAGTGATATGTAAGCTCTTCATGATCATTAGAAAATTAAATCAGTGTGATTTTAATGCAGATATCTGGGTTTATTTGAAATGAATATCTGAGGAGACTCACAATTCCTCGTAATAAGCGTGATACATGTTGATTGTTGCACTTACCAGGTTGATGACACTACACAAAATAACGAAAATGTCGACGGATGCCCAGATCCTAGCCCCAAAACTAGACTTGGGCTTGTTCAGAAACACGTACGTCGTCTTCTGTAACTTGCCCCATCGAAACTCGTGAGGTGGCTGAGATGGTTGTTGTTTTTAATTGAGATGTTGTTTTAAGTTTCTAAAGTTAATAACTTTAGTAGTAGTAAAGTTAGTTAAGTAACTATAACTAGTTTAAACCGCTATTGACCATGTTGATCATTTAAGTTAAACTTTAACCTTAACTTCTTTTCGTTGTGTATATATTCGAGTAGTGATCTTACCGGTATATATTCGAGTAGTGATTCGTTCATTCGTAATCAATGAATATATATATTCATCATGTTGATCATTTAAGTTAAACTTTAACCTTAACTTTTTTTCGTTGTGTAAATCTTACCTTCTTATGATCCGTGTCGTCTATCAGTGCGAAGCCATTCTCTCCTCCCCTTGGCTCCGGGTTTATCCCCCAGAAATCAAGTTCCTGGAAATATGTTGAGATAATAGCAATAAAAAAGTACTCTTTAGTCATTAACGAATCTGTATATATATGAGTAGTGATTCGTTCATTCGTAATCAAATTTAATTGATGAAGGATTATTTGGATTCACGTCCTCTAATTGGACGTGTACTCGACAACTAAAAAACTAAACTTCGCCAGAAATAACCTGATCACATGTAACGATTATTTGCTTCTGATCAATCGTTATTAAGAATAATGTCTTTAAGATTCATCCTCAAACCTGATAAAAGACTTGTTCCTGAATAGCAGGAGGTATGTAGAGCGATCCCCGCGACTGGTAATAGTACAATATCGCATGGAATGCTTCCTGGTTTCGGTCGAAGAAGTATTCTTCTCTCGTTTTGTTGTAGTACTTTTTTCTCAGCTGAAATTTTGACGTTAAAAAGGTAAAAAGAAAACTTTTACACGCAATTATTAATTTTCAACAATATTTCATTGTTCTTGTTTTGAAGTTGTTACCAGTATGTAACAATCGTGATATAAACAAAAATAATATTGACAGCCAGAAAGCTTCAGATACGAGTTTAAATCATTCGAGTGTGAAAATGTAACATAATATATCTAACATTGTCTTAGATCTCAATTTCAAACGAATAATTCTGCTATGATTACCATGGGGTTGCCAAGTCTGGTTTCAGGGAATCTTTCTAGGGTTCTCAAGCAGGTCTCGAACCGTTTGCCCGATATATTAATAGTTATAGTGTCGAAGTTGGGCTCCTCCTCTTCCGGATCCATCTGAAAGTTTTAAACGGGATAAAAATTTGAACTCGGCACGAGGTTCTTAAAAACAGGTTTAAATTTTAAAGGGGTTTTGAGACCCAATAATCGTGAAATTTATATTGCTATTCACAGACATTAAGTTTGTAACTAATGTCTAATACACGGTGTTAGCAGAGTTATTTAATACAGTAAACATGGTAAAGATGAGTGAAGAAACTGGGAGGAGCAGATTAAAGGGTATTACAACAATTAGGTCGACTGAGTATTCTTCATCAGGAAACGTTATCCGGTGATGAAATGTTACTCCTCTGACCATAAAATAAAATAACAACAGAAGAATTGAATTATCAACTAACCAAATGTGGACAATCTGACGCGCCATGTTTTACCCGAAGAAAATTTTTCGTAGAAAATAATTTCCCCATTAAGACCGCTTAAAGTTAAACTGATCACAAAACAAATACTTATCAATTAACAAATACTTATTCTTGACCCGAATAAAATGTTTAATTGCCCTATTAATTATCATAAACTAATCATACACTAATCTGGAACCCATCATGATTTAATATTATGATCAATTAAATGAAGTAATTCCAAGTATCAGTACTTATGTAAAATCCGGATTGGTATCCTTTCCTGATAAGAGCATTTTTCCTTGTCGCATCAAACGGGACCAATACAAATTTATACAATAATACATATCAGTACTTAGGTTGCCAAATCATTATAGCCCGATCATAATAGCTGTAAAAGAGGCTACTAAAGATGGCATCTAAATTGTCAACGAGATAGTAATGATACACACGGTATCTTAGTGATACCAGGCTCCACTTACAATTATAACCGGGGCTAAGATATCACTGGGTAGGGGGGGGGGGGGGGGAGATCCTTTATAATTTCAAACGGCAGTGGCCTGAGTGTAGCCAGTTAAATGCTATATTCATATTTTGATGGATTAATTCATGAAGCTGCCCGCCTGATCGATCCAAATCAATGTACAAGCTGTGCCCCTTAAATCTACCCAATTATAAGTCCTAAATATAGTCCTACCTGCGGACAGAGCAATTTTAAGTTAAACCCCACCTTAGCAAGTGTATCGGATAGATTTGGATTATCCTTAAATCTAAATTTAAAAATTCACAGCGGTGGTTACAGCGTTATACTGTAATTACTGTTCAGTAATTACTATTCAGTAATTCTCTGATCAGTCAAATTAATAACGCTTTTAACCAAAAGAGTCGTTGGCTGGGTTAACACTACTGAAGAATATACAGAGAAGATTGAAGCAGTATAAATAATAGAGAGAGAGAGAGAGAGAGAGAGAGAGAGAGAGAGAGAGAGAGAGAGAGAGTAAGAAGGGGCCAGCAACGAGGAAGGTAATGAGCGGAAGACAGATTAGGAGTAGGAATCGACTGAAAAGTTGGAAGTTGATAGGATGGAGGGGAAATACGGTAAAAGAGCAGGGTGGAAGGATGGTGGGGAGATAAGTTAAATTACGCACATCATCCAGAATCCATGGATTACTGACAGAGAGATAAAGTTATAAATGGGAAGAGGACATTTTTAATTTCATCATAAAATACTGCAGCCTGCCAGAATTATGGTTGATCAGTTTGACCAACATCTAGCGAAGTCTGGCTATGGAATATGCCGATTACATATTATAATCGCAGCTATTTAAACGTACCTCAACGCGTACAACTGAGGTTATTCTGTAAAAATAGTATGATTTAAACGACATTACGAAATACTTGAACGTCTCAGAAGACAAACAATTTTATTCGGTCCAAAACCCCGGTACTGCATAGCTCATGACTGCTTTTAACTCAGCTCCGGTTTCAGGAAATTGAGCAATGAACAGGAGCCAGGAGCTGATACTTTGAAAATTGTTTAGAAGACTTTGATGTCCCATGAAAAGTTCTAGAAGATCAGTTAGTGATCAGTATGATACAAACTCGATTGAATCTATAACAGATCCCTCTGTCGTTTCCGGACGAAAGGTCTCACAACCGACACTCTTTCAGTCTTTAAAGGATTCTTCCACCTTTTAAGACGTCTAGTTCAGCATTGATCCTTTTCAGTTTCAGTAGTCACTTTTATCTACAAACATTTCTTACTATAGTTTGTTTCTGATCCGTTAATGGTCTCCTCGATAGTTAGTGGCCGGTGAAGATGTCTTTGGAACGAAATAATATACTTTAAATTAGTCCAATAAGAGACTAATTGTTAGTTGTTACAGTAATAATTGTTAGTTGTTACAGTAATAATTGTTAGTTGTTACAGTAATAATTGTTAGTTGTTACAGTAATAATTGTTAGTTGTCACAGTAATACTACAACATGGGTGTAAAAGTCTGTTACTGTGGTTATAAAGTATATTCTAAAGTTAAGTTATAAAGCAGATACTGGCATGCACAAGTACTAGACCTCATCTTGGAGAGGCATCGTCCAGGCAACTTGAGGGGTAATTTGCTGTGAACATCTGATCACGGCTGCTGCAATTTGCGTTGGTCCGTTGCTGTTTGACACCATTCTAGCATCGCTAGACTATGGCTCCTCTCTCTCCTTTTGGGTAAGAAAACTGTTCGCTCTCTGATTTATGTTTTCAGTGGACGGTTATCGCTATAAAAGTTTAAAAGCTTATAAATTGTCTTCTTGTGAGATACTCCTGTGAATTGGCAAGTGAGTATGACTCTCCAGCTTTACAATTTAGATGTTACTTTCAGACGTCAAACCGTGAAGTTTTTACAGAAATACTCTTCTAAGTTCTATAGCTTTATTCTTAAACTCTGCGTTTCGAACTTAATCAAAGGGCAAAAAATAAAAAGCATAAATCGTGATACTAAATATATTCGCACAATTATAAAACCCATAACAAAATAGCTTACAATTGGAAAATCACCAAACTGTGATGAAAACCGCAAAAGTCTTCACCTGAGGGCTATAGGACTCAGGGTGCAAGCCTAGTTAAACTTACTAGCCCATAAGCTCAATACTATCGATACTATGTACTGAGTACTCATGACATGACACTATGTGCAGGTAATTAAATAGACTCGGATCCAGACACTTTGATCCAGACACTTTGAATTTTGTGAGTAAGTGATAACAACGCTGGAGACACGAAAATACAAATAATATTGTGATCTGCAATTATCGATACAAAGGTAAATTGAGCGATGTATCAAAGTACATTATTATAGCCCGATGATAATTAAAGCAATCGCCACGCTAATATTCGCTTGTAATAACGCTGTAAATATTGCCTGATTTAAAAATGAGTACCATTCAAGCTGACATCGGCTACATAATAACACTCCTTCACGTCTTCAATTTATTGCCTTCTTCGCTTAATTATCGACAGGGCGGAATGTTATACTGTTACACTGTAAGAAATCCTCTGGCATGCATCGCTTCTGGCTCTTAAGACGTTAAACTATTATTCGTCTTCTGTCTTTCGATCACGACGTGGAGTATTTTAAATTATACTTACATGGAACGAATTCAGGGAGGGTCAGAGTCAAACAAATAACGGAATTGAAATCAGACCAGAACTAGTAGTAGTACTGTTCCTCTCTATACCCCTATCTTATCATCTCTGAATAATGAGGAAAGCTAATGGCGGTCTAGGGTTACTCAACAGTCATTTCTGATCGCTCCACCGATAGTTCATTGGCAACCTCACCACCTCATCATATTTCAGTATTCTGTCGTAATTGGTCACTCATTTCGTTATCAACGATCTACTCCTAGACAAATGACCGAAAATTGTTACCTTAAAATTAACCATGTAGCTAAATTTCTTTCGTGAACTGTGCTATATCCCTGGAAAAAAATTGAGACACTTGAACATGATCATAGGGGTTAACTGGCGACTCTTCCTCTGGTGCAGATAAAAAACGGTAGGCAATAAACTCCCACAGTTTATAATGCTTACCATTTCTTGGCAGAAACTAGTGACTAGTGAGTCATGACCTACGTAAAGAATCACTCTAAAACTTCCGCAACACATTGAAGTGTTAATTCAAGGTTCTTAGTTTAATGCGTTTTAAAATCCCTGACTTTAGGAATATGATAGATTAAGCCATAGTCCCTGACAATTACACGGTTATAAAGTATAAACATCGTGTAAACTCAATGAGTTTAACTCATCGACTGGCACTGACTATTTTTAATTCATATTATATGTTCAGTCCCTATCGATGCGATGTAAAGATGTGAGAAGCAACAAAAATGTTTTACGTAAACCTAATCTAAGTAAACTATAGGTAAAAATATAATATTAATCATAAGCTAAAATGTACTAATCTTTGTATTCTAAATGGGGAAAAAGAAGAAACATTGTCAGTCAGTCGAGAAAATTGTAATATTATTATGTTTAGCCTAATAGTATGCTCATCTTTATAACAAAACCTTTAAATTCACCCATCGTTCAGGGACCTATTAAAACACTGAGTGTAAATTTGTCGATCTATGACAAGATTCCAAATTTCGGCCTGACGAATTGTACGTATACTGATCAACCGGATTACAAAATAGCTGACGATTCACAAGGCAGCTTAAGGCAGTCAAATTGAAACCAAATGGGAAACACTAACTGACGTGACGTCAGACGTCAGATGTCAGGATGACGTCAATGTAATTGAGCTAATGGCAACTATTAGTAATACCCACACAACAATCTTTCCTAACTTTCAAATATTAGAACTTGTGATTTGTTGAACACCAGCAACCACACCGGTAAACAGTTGGTAGTTAGGTCCTCCATGACACCTCCGTCCTCCATGTATAATCATTAATCAATTCATTCTGATGCCAGCTCTACGACCAGGAGTTGTTCTAGTAAAATATAACAGAGGCATGGGGTCATGCATGATGCATTAATCTAACCCTAGGGGGCCGTCCTTGTATGCAGGCTCGTGTGCTATTCAGGCGTTTTATTAAATAATACTCCGCTCTAGCAATCAGAATATTCAGATTTCTCATAATGTGGATCTATGGCGAGGAGGTACT